AGGCCCCAGTCAAAGGCGCTGAATCACTGAATCCAGACCACCTCACCTGCTTGCAACATGAGAGAGATAGAGGTTATTCCAGAGGTCTAGCTAATCACTGCCTTCCAAAACATCCAATTCCTCCAGGAAACTATTTTCCTCTGTTCCAAATCTTTAACTTTGATCTAGCAAATAATAACTTGATGACTCATAATGGTAACAGTGAATTAGGAGAAGCCTTCAAGAATCTTGATATTTTTTTAGTTTGTGATACCAAGTTGACATTGAGTGATGTCCAGGTTACTCAGCAGCTCTTTGGTTTCCAGAGATTCCTTTAAAACCCCTGACACCACAGCTCACAGACTGTGGTTGGCCACTCTGAGGATCCTGTGGTTATTTCTAATTCCCTGGGTCTTACTGCTACAACCACTGCATCTGTAGGAGAAACTTGTACTCCTGGGTTGACACATCCCAGGTTTTGTTCCTGTGAATGTGCTGGAGGTATCTCTATTTGTCCACGAAGAGAAAAGAGGAGGTTGGGATCAATCAGAGACAGAAATAAGTAGCATCTGCATGTGACCTCCCCATATTCTAGTGACAGAGTAAGGGCCAGGGAGGCTGCAGTGATGGGCAATAAACCATGTTTCTTATTAATCACCATTCTGAAACACAGTCAGATCAGCCAATCCAAGAAGAGAGAGGTGTCTGGCACCAACTCCTGCTCCCTAGGGAACACGAGAACAAAGAAAGGACATTCAGCAGGGCTGAAATTTAGTCTGCAACATATTGTGTTTCTATGCCCACAAAATTAAACTATCAGTTCTGCTGCATCAACTCCCTCTGGCTGGAACACCCCACCTGAAATCTCCTTCTCTTACCTTGTCCTGTCACCATGCTGGTTTAACTTTGAGCTGATGCTGGCAGCCAACAGGCAGCTCCTTTGGTGGGTGCTTGTGGAAGGACGTCCAAGCCCCTCTCTTCTCTACCACAGAGTTGGTGCATGAAGGGATAAAAAAGGGCTGAAAGGCTCAGCAAGGAGGCATCTCTGGTGCTAAAAGGGCTCAGGCCTCAGCTAAGGATCAACATCTTAGTCTGGAGAGCAGATGTGGAAGAGATAAAGGAAATATTCTTGACTGAGAGACCCTGTTTTACAAACAGTAAAACACAAGTGAGGTGTCACAGAGGAAGAAACCTTCAACATACTTCCCCTGAAAGTGTGAGAGACCTCTCTACAGAGTTTGGACACAAATTCCATGGTTACCTCCCTGGGGATTGAGGGAAAGAATCTCAATGTGTGCTCCACCAACAACTGGATGGCAAGATACATTGAATCCTAATTTATATTATTACTTCCTTATATGTAACATTAACAAGTACCTTTAACTTCGTGCTGCATTACCAGAGGTACTAGTGGTCTCTTTTTGTTCTTATTCCTGTGTATTAGTTTGTTTTATGTCTTTTAGTTTTCTGTCTATTAAATAAATAATTCATTCTATAATAGACCTAATCAGCCATTTATTAAAGAACTTGCAAACCAGAGAGGGTTTTGGGGTGCTGGCCACCTCATCAAAGTTTCTGCCTGCTGCAGAGGCCTGGGCAAAAGAGGCTTCTCTAAACCCCCACACCCATTTATAACAGTGCCACATGCTTGGCTGAGCCAAGGGGTGCTGAAAGCTGTGCCACACGGTGCAGCAGCCACAGGACCTGCTGGTCAGGCTGTGCTGAGCAGTGGGTCACCCAGGAATGTGTAATAGGATTTGGAAAAGCAGAGGGAGCTTCCACTCACTTCTCAGACCAGTTCAATCCTGTCCCTTATAGCACCTGAGCAGGTGCTGCCCCTGTGGGCTGGGCTTTCTAAAATAAGAAGGAGCAACTTCCTGCGACTTCCATGGGGTGTTGTGGGGCTGAGCCCAGGCATGGATGCAGGGGATGGAGTTTGGAGACACAGTGAGAACTGATGGTGCTCTCTGCCCGAGCCTAGCTGTGCTCCTGGGCAGCCTGTCAAGGACCAGGGCTGGTCCAGTCCAAGTTTCTGGGCATAAGCACCAGCAGGACTGGGAAAACTCGAGTGTTGAAAGATTCAGGGTGGGGGGCAAGGGGCATGGTAATACTATATACAACTCTCCAATAGACACAACAGACACGCTACCAACAAATTAAAACATATCTCCTTAGACTAGAAGTGTTAACATTTCCTCTATTTTACAGGAGGTAATGAAGCCTTTTAGTATATGTATTTTTACTTAGCACCATGCCCTATTCTTGTGCTCTTTCCCCTCACCCATTTTAATTATCTCTTTTATGCTGGAGTACCAAGCACCAAAACAACTCAGTGAGGGGGATCTGTGGTACATAAAATATACTTTTAAAGCTTTTGTTTTTTCCTGGCAGTTCCGTTGTAAAAATATTCTTGCACTGGAAACATAAAATACCAGAGACATCAAACATATGCAATGCCATTTATTGAAGCTTGAAACAAATATGTCATCATAGTTTGCTTTTTAAACCTTGAAATGTTAGAACAAGCTGTGAATGTGGCAAATACACATTTTTTTCCTGAGCAATCTGTTGAAGCTGATGTGTCTCGGGCTAATACAGTAATATAATGATAATACACCTTTGCACTTGGTATTCAATTCAGTTTCGAGACTAATGACCATCTGGGTTCACATCCTAAATCCACCTTTACTTAAGAACAGTGTGTCATAATAGCAGTGGCACTGCTTTTCCCTAAAGTTTTAAGCTGAGAAACAGTAATGACTGCGTTTCCCTGGGTAGGATTATTCTGACTAATGTCCATAATATAATTTATTCACTTTTTATTCATTTCAAATGAAATAACAGCTCCCTGAAGAAAACAATGAAGGCAGAAATGGTTTAACTCCATACTAGCCCTAAGGAGCACTGGAAAGGACAACTCCTGCATGCATTTTCCTCCAACCTGTACCATATCCACTCAGTCAGCTCCTTACTCATTAGCCCACATACCTGTGGCCTCCTTCTGCTGACCTCTGTGGATAAAATATTATGCAGGTACCTCTATGTACAGAACTTTGTCCCACCCAAACCCAAATGTTTGGCTGTCAGGGAACTGCTCTACACCAGACTGCTCGAGCCCAAGCCCTGCCCAAATCCTTCCAAAATCAGGTGGGACCCCTCTACTCCTGCACATGATTCAGTTGTTCTGTGTCCAGAGGAGTAAGAACTGCCCAGATTTCTGTTGCTCAAAGGGCCCCCAAAAGGAGAGAAGCAAACTGTGAAACTTAAAAAGCATCATGTCTGGCGTTGGCCAGCAACGCCACAGACACATATTATTGTAAGAATGTGTGCATGCACCCACATGCACCATTGCAAGTCATCCCCATGTCTCTTAACCTAGCACCACATTTTTAACAGTGGATTTTGTTTTATCAGCACCTAAAACTGGGGTTATATCGCCATCACAGAGGTTAATAAATCTAACCTTACCATGCTGCATATTTTGAGCTCCCAGAGACTTCAAGTGAAGAAGAAAGTCCTTAGCCAAAGGACACAAACCTTTGAAAAATGACAATTCGACTCGTGGTCATCATTAGGTTAACACATTACAGCCAGGTTGAAATACTTCTATTAAATTCATGAAGGTCTGTCTAGAAAAAAAAGCTACTGCTAGTCTTAGTTCTGTAACCACAGTGACACTTGGATTCATGACCATGTGTCTCACCATATACTGCATAAAATGTGCGTTTCCCTGCAATCTGAAATTGTAAGGTAAGCAGGGTGCAACTCTGAGATTTTCAAAAAAGCCAGAAGAACCAAGGTGTCCAAATCCTACTGAATCCCAAAGGAATCTAAATATGTCTTCACTGGCAAGACAGATGTGCTATTTGTCTAGTGGTGCCATCATGACTGAAGCTTGAGCTATGCAGACACTACTCTGAGCCTCAGACTCCTGCCCCAGGAGCCCTCAGTTCCACTATGATGATGGACTTACCCTGGGGGAAAACTCTGCTGTGAGTGAGCTCCTGTGAACGGGGCCTTATGCTCTACTGGGAGATACTGGATGAAAGGACAGCTCTATCACTGAGTATCTGTGTGAATAAAAGAGTTTCCAGATGCTAGCTGGCCTTTATGCTGATGCCGTAAAATTTATTTCAAAACATATATGGGAAATTTCCAGCTGAAATGCCTGCATGCCACATTTGAAGCTGCAGGAATGGTTTAAGTCTGTAAATTTGAATTCTATTATATAGGTTAAAATGAAATTAGCAAACTCTTCAGCTGGGCCAGGTCATTGCTCCTTCCTTCCTTTTTTTTTGTCAAAGAACAAAAAGATTTCAGTTTTTAAATGCAAAAGACTCAACTTCCAAATGTCCTTACCTACATCAGCTTAGAAGTCTTTTGCTTTCTCATTATGTGACTCCTTTACTCTTTGTGCTGTAAAGAGTGGAAACCATTACAGTGAAGGTTCCTGGTTCCTCTGTTCAGCAGCTGTAACATTCTTGAGTTAAATGGAGCTGACCACTAACATAAAACTGGTGGAAGTGAGAAGTCAAGAGAGAGAGAACACCACTCTTCCCAAAGGATAAGTGTTGACGTTAAATTTTTGCTGCAGAACAAGCTGGTACAACCTCTATGCTCCATCAGTTTCCTGAGAGGTTTTTATGTCCTGCTGACATGTATCATTTGCGTCTGAATACCTGCAGCTATAGAGACTGGCCACAGTTTTGATTTGGTTGTCTTTCTAATTTCAAATGGTCTTGGATAGTTAATTTTAAATTGAGAGGAACTACAGATGATACTTAACATCGTTATTGCCTGTCTAGCAAAAGATCTGCAAAACCAGATTTTTTTCCTTATGCTGAAATTATTCTATCAGATGGAGTGTATAAAACTGTCTAAAAATATTGCTGTTTTCTCCCCTAAATGTGTAAAAAGACACATAGATATGGCACTTAGGGGCATGGTTTAGAGGTTGGACTTCTTGATTTTAAAGGTCTTTTTCTATTACTTTTTCTATGACTATTTTTATGACTATGATTCTATGACTATTAAGGTGGTAGATGCAAACGGCTTGGATTTTGTAGTACCAAGAAATGCTGCTTAAAACATATTTGGGAACTTAACAGCCCATATGTTACAGGGGTTTCCAGGTTACAGCAAGACATTTGTAGCAGAAGAAAACTGCCAAGAACAGGTTATGGCTGAGGTATCCTTTACAGATTCAGTCAAGTACTTAGCAAAGTTTTTTTTCTCCTGAAAAAAACAGTGTTTCAATTCATCCTGACTATCATTAACAGATATTACAAAACTCTGTTTTTAAATTTATGAAGTGAGCAATGAATTTAGAGAAACACTGCCACTGCACTTTGATTCCTAAAAAAGAAAGGCAAGAGAGCATAAAGAGAACTGGCTCATGGCATAGGTATGTGTCTATTGCCCCAAGGGCCACCTTCACTAAGCACTCTTGAGTAAGCAGTGCTGGTCTTTCAAGTGGATTTTGGAAAAGAGATGGCAAAACAAGTTAAACATTCATTACAAAAAATCAGAAAATTCTTGCAAGCCTGTTTCTAGTGTCTATGCATGCCTAAGAAGTACTAGCTGTTGGTACATTGAAATTTATGTAACAAATTTTGGACTATTACAGATAAAAAAACTGAAGCAGTAAATTATGATTTATAACCCTAGGTGATGCATTTTCCCAGTTTTGATCACAGATTTCCATTTATGCTGGATGGTTCAGAAAAAAAATAAGAAACGTAAAACCTGTAAACAGAAGCTCTATTCAAGGAAACAAAGAGAAAAACAGCTAGTGCCAAGCTGCTTGGTTGTTGTTTTCTTGGTTTTGAGGTGGTTTTCTTCTAGATTTAGTGTAATTTTGTTGTTTGAAGACTCGCTGGTCCCCATGTCTTGCTTTGTTACGAATTCGGGGCTGGCTACACGTGAAGCAGCACTGAACTTGTATTGATGGCAGCAAGCACTTGCCAATGCCTTTCAGCCTCTGGCAGAAGTGAACTGACAGCTGGTCTTTGCTGCAGGGCAGCCCTGTATTGAAGAAGATGACAAAAATTAGGTGTATTTTGCTGTCATGCTCCCAGTATTTCTAGAATTTTGAACTACTTTAAGCCAGATGGTCATGTCTATTAAGGGTCTTATTAAAGTGGCTTTCTCTTCCCTTGAATTACGGGTCAGCTTGACGTCCCTCTGGAATTCTAGTGAACACATGACCTGTTCTGGAAAACACAGCACTCATGACTGTTCAATGATACTTTACCTTCACAGCAGACAAAGCTGGCCTATGTTTTCCACTTTGGCTTTTGTGCTGATAAAAGTTTTTGTGCCTGAGAAAGCCTGGCAACAACGATTTGAGTTTGGTACTTTTGCATTCTTGTAACTGCCCCTAGGACAAGCAGCATAGGTTGGCAGGGTGCTGCACAGCCAGCCAGGGCAGGCAGGAGAGTGCAGACAATGCACATGCAACTGCATGTTCAGCTTGGCGATGCTTTAATTCCTGCACGTCAGAATACTGAGGGACTGCTTCTGTCTGTACTACCACGCTGATAGGTCTGTGGTAGCTCTAATGAACTGAGATGGGCCAGATTTAGCCAGATATTAGAAGCTGGTGATCCTCAGCTTGGAGAAGACATGGTATGCACAAGAAGGAAGATATTACATTAACAAGGCTGTTCTCCAGCAAATCACTCAAAACTGCAACTGGCAAAACTCAATGGAAACTTTTATAACGGTAGTTTAAAACAGATGCAAACAGTTTTTTTCACACCAAGCTGTAACCTATAGAACGGCTGTCCTCAGGATATCTAGCCCCAGAGCTAGAAGTTAGGAATAGAAGCTTCCATAATCCAGGAGGACATTGTTAAAGATGTGCTTTGCCAATTAAGACACTCACAATTAAGACACTCCCAGATGGGACCCACCCCAGAGTAATGAGGAAACTCGTGAGAGAATTTGCCATACAACTCTCAATCACCTGCCAGCAGTCCTGGTTAACTGGAGAATTTCCAGCTGACTGGAAATTATCAAATGTAATGCCTATCTACAGGAGGGTCAGAAGGATGACCCAGGGGACTGTACAGCTACCTGAAAGAAGGCTGTAGTGAGGTGGGGGTCAGCCTACATTGCCACAGCTACAGAGAGAGGACAAGGGGAAATGGCCTGAAGCTGAGACAGGGGAGGTTCAGATTAGCTTCAGACATTTTTTCACTGTTAGGGTGGTCAGGTATTGAACAGGCTGCTCAGGGAGCACTGGGTGATGTGGTTTAGTGGTTCAGGGGTTACAGGGGCACTGCTGGGTGGACTGGATAGTCTTGAGTGTCTCTTCCAACCTTGCTGATCCCATGACTCTGTAAACTTGCTACCACAGGAGAGGGTGGAAGCAGACAGCATCACAGCATCAAAAAGAGTTGCAACATATTAATGGAAGTTTAAATAAAAAGGAACTACATGGAGAATTTTTAATAGTCCTAATATACTGGGAATGTAGAAGGATTATCACGGAAATGAATCTCAGGAAAGCACCAACCTCCTGTATTCCTGCTAAGTAGAATTTTTTAATGCCATTGTTGGAGACATATGGGTGGGCTGCATGAACCAGTGCTTACCCAGTAGGGCATTTCTTATGTTTTACGGGCCACTTGAGCTTTTACTCACAGAAGTAACTATTACTAATATGTGTAGAGAGTGTTTATCTGAATCTGTCTTTCTGAACATGAGAGGGACAGGAAATAAGCAGACCAATCCACCCCCGGGCAAAATGTGTGCTAAAACTCTTTGAACAGGAGCAGGAGTGATGTGTCACTCTCAAGAGCATGTCAGATCTGCACTGCCCTCAGGATTCAAATCATTGTCTCACTGTCAAATTAGAACCCTTAGCCCTGAGTAATAAGGAAGATCATCCTCCAAAAGGCTTTTGAAAGCTTTTCTAAGGGCTGTGAGCTGTTGCTACTCCTACCTGAGGGTATCTGCTGGATACAGCACTACACATAGGTATCCTTCAATAAGCTTCCCTTTCCCCTGATGCCTCTTTTTTGGCTATTAACCATGTACACAGGTGGGCTCCTGGGCCTTCAAGACACCCTGACTCACAAGAATATTTATCTCTACCTCTTGATTTTGGACAGTCTCACCCTGTGGTACACTGATTTTTTTACAATGCCTGTAAGAATTTGCTTGCTTGCACTCCCAGTCCAGAATTTACAGCTTCCATAGAGGGACCTATCTTAAGAAATGGCATCTGTTTGGACTCAATGTGTGTCCTTCCACAGCCCTCACTGCAGCCTGAGCTACCTAGAACAGGCCAATACAAGCAGACGTTCTAATTTAGTCGTGTCATCATAAATCAGGGATGCATGCTTAGAGTCTGCACTCCCCATCACGGCAACACAAGGCCAGAAGTGCTGGAAGAGGCAGCAGTGTGGTTCTGCCAACAGAGCAGTGAGCAGTAGCAGGCCAGGGTGATCTGTAACTACTGAGCCCACACTGCTCAAAAGAGGTTGATAGATTGAGCCAGCTCCAAGTTCTTGCAGAATCTCAAGCAAAAATGGAGAAAACTGTTTCATGCAGGTGTATTACTCTACCTGTATTTTTCCTGCACTCTTGCAGATTACATTTCTGATATTTTGTGGGCTTGGCTTTTTCCATGCACATACTGTCATCTTCTGTCTCATTAGTTTCTGTATTCATGCATTTCACAGCTCTTTGTTGCATGCCCCCTCCACAAGAAACAGGACACTGAAAGAGTAATTTTAACATACATAAATATTTTTTTACATGGAAATTTTGTAATATGGCAATATTTGAGCTGTGATGTGACAGGAAGCTAAAACTGCCATGTGATCCAGAAGCACTGGCATGACAGTACTCTGTGTACTGTGTGCTCCATCCAGATACCTCCATGGTGCATTGTGGCCAGATCTGACAGGATACAGTAGAGGGTAAATGGTATAAATACAGCATCTTGGAATATGAGTAAATAGGAGGAGAAGACTGTTTTCTACATTATAAGAGACTCGTAAACCAATTTTGTACAAATTAGGACAGTTTTTGCTTCCTGTGTTTTCTGACAATCTATGTTAAACATTAATAACAAATTCCAATGTTAGGTCTACAAACGACCAAACTAAGAATTTTTAAAAAGCCAATAAGGTTTTGTTTCTTTCCTTGCTTTTGAACAGAGGTTACCCTTTACGACCACAAAAGAACAGCCAGCTGCTTGCTCTGGCTGCACACAGAAGGCCATAAAACCAAAGGACTTTTAAAATCTCAACCAGTACATTTGCATTCTGTAAATGCACTTAATTCTTGTGACTTCCTAGGGCATCTGAGAATCCCAATTAGTTTCAAATTTTTTTTTTCCTCTACAGATAAATAGTGCCAGCAGATTAATGAGAAAAAGAATTCAGCAGATAGAGAATGTCAGCTAACGAAGCTTAAGAGATGAAGACAGGAGTGGAACCTCTGACATTTTTCTGCAAATTATCCCCTCTCTAATGTGTATCTCTGTACATGAAGCACAATAGTACTGGTGTGAGGTACACTGAAAGATCTTAGGAATTCTTGCAACAACTTTACATTGATGTTTAAAATATTTTTATAATGTAAATTTATTAATGAATGCATCAATATGGGATTAATAAATGAGTACAATAGTTGTTATTATTTTTGTTACTCTGTTACTTATTTTACACATTTCACTTCCATATTTAAGTGTTACACTAACTGTACCTTTGTGTCAAAACCAACTCATTGAATTTTCTGTGATAAAGGAGATTCCTGTTTTGTTAAATCAGAAGTTAAAGGTTAAATGTTTCCTATTTGAGGCTCCTGCTTTTAGCATTCCTTCAATATTCCATTCTGCTGTGAGGAGGAGTACTTGTAATGTATGCAATGTTTATTAATGAAACTGGAGGGAAAGGTTTATTAGATATACTAGTTTCTTTATATATAAAAATGCATATCAGATACTGGAAGGTTGCCCAAAGATACACTTCATATTTGTCAATAAGATTTCCAGGTACTAAGTAAGAGGCTATTGTTCATTCAGAATTTCAGAAATTCAGAATTTCTCTTTGTGTGGGCAAGTACAATATTCCCCAAAGTTGTTTGGAGGCTCAAAAGATCCCCTCCAATAGCCTCAAACAGTGAAAAATTTCAAACGTGCAGTGGAAAAATGTTAATGGTAAAACTCCTTTGTTCTTAGATGAGATAAAAAATCCCAGACTTCAATGACATCTAATACAGCAACAAAAAGTAGAGGCTGCAATAAGTGCCACCTGAAGGAATGGACAAGGGCTGGCTATGCAATGCTCAGTAGTGCTCTCAGAAGTTCTCTTGCAGCTTCAGCTGTGCATAAGAAACTGCACTTGCCACAGGCACTGAGGTTCGGAGACAAGTGGGTAACACGACCAAATATGGCCAACTCATGACAAGAAACAAAACAGGAATTAACTGAATCCTACCGGGCTCCAGGCTTGGTGGATCCACTGTGTGCAAGGCTGCCTGCTGCACGGTGCCATGGCATCAGGTCTGCTGGCCCAGTCACAGAGCCCTTCCCGCGGGCAGGAGACGTGCCGCGTCTGCTGGCCACCACCACACGTCCTCGAACACTGGCAAAAGAGGGGCACAGACACAGGTGGGGAAGGATGAGAAACCAGAAAACGGACCACAGAGATGGTTGGACATGTTAATGTAGAAATGTGGGGCCACAGATAACGAGAATCCAGGGTCACAGGCCCATAGGTTTAGAAAGATGTACTAGAAAGGCTAAGACTGCACATCAAGTCCTGAAGTCCAGAGATGAAGAAAACTCGGCACTGAGACACTTATTCCATGTGCTTGGAAGGAGACTGAGAAGAAGTTGTTACATGGTACATCTACTGGAAGGACTAAAGGGCAGAGTAGAAGTGGGTACATGGAACAGGCAACACAGAACTGTCCATCAGCATCACCAACACCAGTAGCATCTCTAACAAGAATTAGATTAGAAGTCATACGTCTGTAGGATTAATCTGCAGTATTAACTGAAGACAGAACAACTTCATAAGATGCAGCATCTCATTTTTATGAGGTGGTTGGGGACATTAAAATTCAATCCATACAGTAACTGAACTCTTTGGCAGTAAAAGTCATACAAAAATAGTGACCCAAGTTATTTTTTAAACATTCTTCTGTCCACATTCTAGAATTACATATCCACTGATTTTTTACAATTTTTTCACTAAGTCTGTAGTAGAGTCTGCTGGAAATACACAAAGTGTTTCATACTCTGATATGAAATAAAGTATCAAATATACTTTGAATAATGCATTGCTACTGCCCTACAAGGAATTGCACCCCTATGGACAGAACAATATATCTGACGTCTGATAAATTAACTTTTTCAATCCATTTCTATCCAGTGTCCTTAGCATGAGGACAAATGCCAGGGCTGGACTAGTGCTTTTATAAAGTATTTTAACTGACAAACAAATGCAATCATTTGTCTATTTTTATTTTTCCAATCCCTGCTGATTGCTCTGACAGCACACCCTCATCTCCTCCAGGTGTGATTTGTTAGTGCTCTGTAAAGAAAATGTGATCATCTCCCTTAAAATCCCAAAGCACCAGGTCCACAGGGCTGCAAACATCGTGACACTTTCTCCAGAGCTGCTTTCAGTGGGGTTAAATTCTGAAATATAACCAGGCCACATGCTTTAGCTGACATAAATATGTGCCTGGCTGCCTCTGAGTTTGTTGGCACAGATTTATATTACAAAGGGACCCAAAAGTCAGATTTATCTTATGTCTGGTCTAAGCCTTTGCTCCATAAAATTTCAGTCCAAAAGTGCAAAGGAAAATTCTAAATTTGTCATAATGAGAAGGCAACATTAAAACATCAGCAGAAAGGATTCATCTAAATGAACCACATTTACTGATCCAATAGGATAAGCTAAAAGAAATCTCTTCCAGGCCATCTGCTTCTCCCTTTCAGGATATGGTAATTTACAGCTCCAGCTGTAATCAAACGCAATACTAAGAATGATTCTGTGAAGCCTTAGGAACACCTGTGCTAATTTTTGCTGTAGCCATACACAAGAACTCACCAGCTGCATCTCTTCCTCGGAGCAGAATTTTACCTGACAGCAAGGGATCCAACAGCCGCTGTCCCCTGAAAGGAAATTGTTGATTCACAAACCCTTTAAAGAACAGTACCTCACTCCAGGGCTCCACACGCCATTGCAAGCAAGGTTCTGTGTTACAGCTAGTGTTGAACTGTGGTTTATAGCTGAGCAACTGGCAATGGAAAGGCCTGAGCAGCCGCTTTTCCCGAACATCCATGCAGTGAACATCTCGGGTCTTGAAGCCTCCGCTGCAGTTCACAGAGCACTGCACACAAAACAGAGAGGGGCACTTCTCACATGATGCTCCACTGAGGGGCTGTACCCTCCCCACTCACACAGCAGGAGGACAACCTCAGCTTTGAGCATCCTGAACAGAAGGTATTTCCAGTTTATTGTAACACCAGTCTGGTGTGAGGCCTAAGCACTGTGCTTTTCCTCACAGCAGCCCAGAATATGCTATGTAAGTACTTTCCCTGCTATACTGCTATGGCCATTACTAATGTGGATATGTATTTAACTGGGAAATCTTGCCAGCTATCTCCAAAAATGTCACAGTGAAAGAGCCATAATGCAATAAATACAAAAATGGATTCTGTGTGCAGGGGTATTGTCAGTTCCTTAGCTGCTTCAGAGAGAGGAAGGGAGTGAGTAGCAGCTCCCACTCTCACCTTCCTTGCACCTCAATGGCACCAGGACATTCCATACCCCAAGAACAGCCTCAGTTCGAAAGGATGGGAGGGAAGAGAGAGGCATTCTGAGCCTCACTCACAGCCTGTGAAATCACTGCTCAGCTCTGAGCTCTGCTGAGGACAGGAGCTAAGTGAACCCTTCCATCCTCCTTTTTTCTAGCCAGAGCTTCTTCCAAGCCTTGTGCAGCATCATCAGGTCCTGTCTCTGGGCACCAAAATTCAGGACCTTTCCTGCTCTTGAGGAAGAACTGAATTTGCTACCCTAGGGATAAGGAAAAATACAGGTTTTGTCTTCAAACAGAATTAAAGCCAATTAAAGTCAACTGCAGCACTGAAAGCTTCTCAGACCACTTTTCACCTCTGCCACTATGATGCAATAGCAACTGGTGCTCTTCTCCTTTGCATAAATAAGCATCCTTTAGTTGAGCAAGGAACCTGAATGTAATACTTCCTCTAGGAGATGAAGAATGGATGGAAATGGAATCCTTACTCTTGTCCACAGGACACGTTTCTCTCTCTCTGGATAGAAAGAGTGGACAGAAGTGACTGTGTAAGAAACTGAGTACAACAGTCTCAAAATATATGCAAATTTTATTTATATTATTATAAATACAGACTCTAAGATTTAGTCTGAAGCACCTTTCTTTTAGGGAAGGAGAAAAATTAAATGAGAGTAGAAGGGAACCCAATCATCTTGCTGCGACAAGTGTCTTAAAAATATTTGAAATGAGTAATAAAAAGCAATTGCCACTTCTAAAGCAAGCAAAATGTAACCGTTTTTATACATGAACTGTAATTTCATTTGTATAGTTCACTTGATGGAAAATTAGGAGGGTAACACAAATCTGATAGAAGAAGCCTTTTGCCTCAAACTTGCTTCATAACTGGTCTGACATTTAAAAAAATTTTCTTCCTGTTCTATTTTATCATTAAGCTTGATTGCTAGCTATTTTTTTGTGACATGAACATCATTCACTTGTTGCAAAAGCAATGACATTTATGAAGAAAAAGTAAAGGTGAAATTGCCCTACTGCAGCTGGGAGGGCAGGATGTCTATGTATCTTTTAAAATTAATTTCGAAGGCTTAAATGTAGTTATGTAAAGCCTTGGCCTTTCCTGAACTTTCTAAAGAGGCATGTAATTCCTGTACAAATCAATTTTATGTCTAAGAGCTCAATAATAACACAGGTTTTGTAACTATAACTTTTTATTTGTATCAATCTGCCCTCTAGCCCAATGGCAACAACACTGTCCACAGAAATGATCTGTACTGGAAAAGTTTGAGACACCTATCTTTTTCCTTATTAAATCAACAATATTTAAAACAGAATTTTGAAGTTTATCTCTTTTTAGTCTTGAAAAATAATCCGTGGTTTGAAACTCAATTTTTAGACTTCATGAGGACAAAATATTTCAAGAAGCCACCAAAGTCTTTCCAGGTGTTCTTTACACAGCTTAAAATATCAAAATGGGACTCAAGCACAATTCTTTGGGTTCCACTTAGCACCCTGGACACTTTTCTGTTTCTTGACCAGGCCATGGGTACAAAACTAGGACCAAAGAGAATCCTACACATAGCAGCCGTTCTTTCCAGTACAATTTTCTTTTCTCTTTTTTTTTTTTTTTTAATGTAAACCTTAGAGCTTACGTGAATGAAGAGCAGACCATGTCATATAACAGATGGTGACAAGGGATGGTGAATAGGAACATGACAATTCCCTCTCCCAAATTCCCACTGCTTTTTAAAATTAGGATATGCTCCTGGAGGCAGAGATAAAGAGAAGCCACAAGCAACCATGTCCAGCTTCGCCCTGTCACCTCCATAGAGGATGTGCAGTGAGTCCTGCTTTGGCTCTAGATGCAAGAGTTAATGAGCACAACCCACCACAGGAAGAACAAAATTCACAGCAGATGTGTTTCCAGATATAACTTGGTCAGGAAATTAGTGCTGAATGGTCAACTGGGAATCATGTATGCATTCACTGAGTAAATAATTGTTTTAAAAATGAGGTATTTAGAATTTCATACCCACTGAAATTTGCAAGCTTACTGTTCACACACAGCTCTGAATGAAGTTACCTTGCTCCAATTTCCTGTTTTCCAGCTAGCACATGGGCGGAGATAACATCTCTTTGCAGGATCAGGCTTTTTCATGTCCTGACAGTGAGATGTGTTCCTGCTGCTGCACTCCACATGTCTCCAGAAAGCCCCCATTCCACAGGTCGTAGAGCACTGCACAAGGGCAAGAGGAAAGCCCAGAGGCAAACTCAACATTAGTACATAATTCTGGAAACAACCCTGGAACCTAAATATAAATATCTAGAGCCATTTTAGATTACATATGTTATCGGAGATACCCAAAAGAATATTTGAAATTCACCTAAATTTTGCTTAATATTCTGAAGGAGGGCTTTTTTTTGGTTTCTTAAGACTATACCAGTCCTGATTTTGACTATGCACTTCTTTTCTTTGGTATCCTCCTGCTTACAAAGACATTCTAAATCTGTACCAGCTGTTCCACTGTTTTCTTCTGTTATCTTTGGGGATCCAAAGCAAAATGTAATTGCATCCAATCTTCAGCATTGTTCTCTCTAGTCCTAATACTGCTAATGAGATAGTCAGCTAATTGAGTGCATGATGCTGAAAATCTTAAATAAATATGTGGGAATCTTAGGAAAATTGTAGAGGAAAATGTTTCTCTAAATTATTAATTCAGGATGTGGCTGAGTGTTTTCAACATTTGAGAGGACTTTTCTGTCTGAGGAAAGAGAATATTTGTCATTTCAGTCCATATCCCAAGAGCACACACTCCTCACAAAAAGCCCCCAAACACTGTCATTGTATTCTGAAGCAGGAGGGGTTGAAAAGCGGTTGGAGATACCCATTTACCTTTTTCTGCCTTAGAAAGGGTGGGTCAGTGAACTATACATGTAGAGCCAAATTCAACAAACACTAAGCAGCCTGCAGCTGGCATGAGAAACAGCACAAATAATCTTGGATTAAGTCAGAAATATGATGAAGGGAGCAAATGCTCTTGTGCGGTTTGAACTCCCTGCATGGAAGTGGGAAAGTTAAATATGGAACACTGAGTAAGTGTCGTTGGAAAAATAAGGAAACTTAAGCTGAAGCTAAGGCAAAAAAAAAGGTCAATACTGGAGATTTTTTATCTCGTGGGGATTCCTGGGATGTGTGTCCAAGTGGCCACAAAGGTCTTGTTAAAGGAAACTGTTTACCACTGTTCAGTTTTGCCTAGTGACACACCTATCGAAGACAATTTTTCTGACTGAAAGGACAGACTGCCCTTGTCTCGCCTTCTGATGGCTTGATGCCTTCCCCAGCTTTGCTAGACCAGTCTGACAACACCAAGACTTTACAAAAGAGATGCTTAGTCTTTGACTAAAGCCCCATTCTGAGCACACGTGAGAAGAGCAAAGATGGCTCCATGGATGATGCAGGGCAGATCACACTGAGGAAGATTTGTGTTCTTCTCTGAGGAAGGTGAAACAGCAGGATTCTTTCAAACCCTGCTGTGTGCAGGCACAGGGTCAAGAGAGAAAGGCATGATACTTCGAATGGTTTTAGGATAAAGCCTTAGCTTTCTTGACTGTTGTTTGATGCTACATAAGTTTCTGAGGACATACTACATTTCCCTTTGTCATTTGGGAACCAATATTCCCTCTTGGCACAGTAGATCTTGGTCACAGGGGGATGAAGTGCAGGTGACTTTACGTGACCAGTAGCAAAAGGGCTATTGGAATGAGATGATCTGGTGGTAATGGAGTATTTTTGCTACCCAGAAAGCTCTTAGAAAGGGAAAAATGAGAGCCCAGAATGGCCCAGGAAAGTAGCAGGAAAGGAAGTCATAGTTATGGACAAGCACCAGTGGAATTGGGCACTGTTTTGCCCTACTCAAATTAGTGCTTTCCCTTGAGGGGACAAGTGCCAGCCCTGTTTTGGGACATGTCACACCCTTCCACCTCAGTGACTAACACTGCTCTTGTCACTATTTATTTACTAATATGGACATCTCCTATGGAGCAAAGCAATGTCAAAATATTGGCAGCTATTGAAAGAGAAAGAGCACAGCAAGACACTCATCAGAGTAGGTGCAGTGGTCTTGAAATACCAATGCCTTGGAAAGATGTAATCTAAAAACAGATTCAAAGATTTTCTAAGGATGGGGAAACAGAAAGAGCAAAAATGAAGTCAGAAAACTGTAGACTGAAAATTAATTAAAAGTCATGAACAAAAAGAAAAGGTTCTGTGAATGTCAGACTCAAGGTGTGCATGGGAAATAGATAACTATTTAATGAGAAAGAGAATAGCTAACTTTATTAATAGAACCATGGAATGGTTGAAATTGGAAAGGACCTTTGTTCAAGTTGGGCCACCTAGAGGCAGTTGCTCAGAACTATGTCCAGATGACATCAGAATATCTCCAGAGATGGAGATTCCATAAATTTTCTTTTTCACCATTTCTTCAAGCCTGAAAAATGAAGTTCAATGTACCACACTTCCCAAAAAGTTTATTTTAACAACAAACAACAGCTTGAGTGAGAGTAGCAAAAGATTATTAAATTATTAAAGAAGAACAAAGTAAGATGCAAGTATCCTTTAAGTATCCTCAAACTGACTTCCTCAGTTCTGTGAAATCAAACGTATTAACCCTATCTCTACATTCATTCAAGTGTTCATTCAATAATCTTCAAACTGTTGAGAATCAATTTTTACAACAGATTGGAAACATCCCAGAGAATTAGATAAGAACATCTTTCAATTTATCTCTAGGAAAATAAAAAGTCCTGTCTGTGGCCTAATGGAATACTTCACCCAAGCTGACTTCACAGGAAGATGAAAACCAAATTATTAAAAAGTCAAGATAAAAATGGCAAATACTAACGAAGATGATAAAGCAATAGAAAAGCCCACATGGAACTATCTAGAAGAAACAATACAACTAATAATAATTATATAATCATTAATATATTGTTGTTGATAATAATAAATATTAATTAAGTACATTTAATAGCTAATTAAAGATATCATTAATATTATTAAATTATCTGATTATTAATCACTGAGTCTAATATCCTTTTCTGACAGGGAGCATGGCTTAATGAAAATAAGGAGCTGGCTGGTGTGATGCATTTTTAGGTGATTGTGCAATACATTCTTTTAGCACATGGAGATACAGTTTAGGTGAAATAATAACAAGATTGGTTTTCAACTAACTGAAAAAATGTAAAGAGTGGTTCTCAGCAGTTCAATTTCAAAATGAACAGACACTTCACACATGGCTCTGCAGGGCTCTGTCCAAAGCCAGGCTCTCTTCAGCATTTTCATTAATTAACTGAATGAGGAAACACAGCATGCATTAAAGACATTTGAAGATGATGACAAGCTGGGAGAACAGGCAGGAATGTTGGAATCTGAATTCAGTGACACCACTCCACAATAAAAATTGTAAGAAAGCAATGTAAATACGTAAAAAAAGTAAGAAAGCAGTACCCTGAAATTAAAAAATAGATGCAAAATATACCACATTTAGGGAAAATGTTTTATGCATACACACACACACAGACGTATATCTACACAGACATACATATACACACACACATACATACATACATAGCTCCCCAATGTAATTGAGAACTTTTGCTGATCTAGAAATACTGTAGTAGGGATCCAGGGTTTAAAATGGACCACAAATTTAATACATCAAAGCAAGACGGTTACAAAACAAGACAAATCTCATTTCTGCGTTCACAAAGTGGGTAATAAATAAAATGATAGTAACTATTCAATTTTATACGCCATATGTCCACTGGGGCCACAATGAACATTACTGAAAAAATACGTCATGAAACTGAATCAAGAACAAAGAAGTCCCCACATATTTAGAGAACACAAGGAAAATCTCAAAAAAATTTAGATGTCAGACCCCAAAAGAGTTATTAAGAAGATAATTTTCCTCCAAGTCTGCATATAAAAAAAGAGAATCCTCATTTTCAGTATGGGAGATGTTGGCTATGTATAAGGAAAATATTTCAAGGTGGATCATGAATGATAAGGACAGACTGTAGCATCTCTGCATGACTGGCCTTTGCTCAGGCTCTGGGGGCTTGGGGCCACAACCGTTCCTGTGATGTTCTCTTGTAGAGAACAGATCTAAAAGCAGGGGTAAGTGCAGGAGGGAATGCTTCACCTGTCCCACTAGAACAGGGGAAGCTAAGGCCATTCTCACAGGAAGGCACAAGATGAAAGCTCAAATGCCACCAGGAGTGCATGTCCTCAACAAGTGCTGATGCACTGGGGACAGAGCAGGAGTCTTAGCCACTGTCTGCATCCAGTCTCAGGGTCCTCCAGTGACATGGGGTATACTGACATGGGATACACTGACATGGGATACACTGACATGGAATACACTTAGTCATCTCATGCTGTCCTTTTGGGCCTTGAATTTCTGCATTTCTGTGATTGTGAATCACTCCCAGCAGACTCAAGACCCAACAGATCACAGAAATGCTCTGATAGCATTCTTCATCAATACTGAGGCACAGGCAGATCAGCACTGACAGATTTCCAGATCTGACCCTCTTTAGCTTGGTAAAAGTAGGCCATCAAAAAATGAGATCATTAGTTCAGATACCAACATCTCTCACTTTAGGTATCATGAGTTCAAGAATATAAAATCTATTAGCATAAAAGGAGCTCTCTTTACATAAAAATAAAATTTACAGTGGGAAGGGTATTAAATAAAAGTTTGTAAAATATGGCCAGGCCCCTTGATGACTATATTCATTCTCCATAAGCAACTAATCTTAGATATCCCAAGTTACCACTTTTTTTTTGTGATAAGTATTTCATATGTATGATACTGACTTCAGAAAATTGTGACAAACTAAGAAGCTTCATTTCCTCAGCAGTGTTTCAGACAGCTTTTCACACTCTCCACATCTTAAGAGAAAGAAATAACTTACCTCACTCCAGTTGCCTACTATCCAGTAGGCATCACTGGGTAAACTGTTGGATGTTATTACATGGCTGTTGTCTGTGACATTCCTTAAAACACCCCCAGATGCTGCACTTTGGTTGTTCAGAGCATGCTTGAGAGTTGAGGATTGTGTGCTGGTAGTCACGGTGTCAGGCAGCTTTATTTCTTCTCTGTGGTCACTCTGACCTCTTGGTGCACGACCAAGCTCTGTGGGCATTTCTGTAACCAGTGCTTGTGGGGTAGTTACCTCTACAACAGGCACATCAACCTGCAGACTGACATAGTTTGCTGCTGTTGGAAATGCCAGCCCTTGTGCTGCTCTGCTCACAGGACTGAGCACGGAAGGGTCTCGGTGATGAGATGCTGGTGGGGACTGAGAAGTCACACTCTCACTCTGAGTCACAGGAGAGGCAGTGTCCAAGGTTGTGCTTCTGGTCCTGATTTCAGGATTGAGTTCTGTGCTGTTAAAGAGATCAACTGTTTTCTGGCTGACTCCAAGTGGCCCATCAGTGTTGTCAGATTCCTCAGTTAAGTAATCATAGCTGGAAGTTATTTCTGGATTACTGGTAAAAGAGGAAACAGGAGTGTCCTCACTTCTTTGCATCTCCCTCTCTGAAGTAGAAACTGGCTCACTTTTAGAAGTGTTTTCAGCATGGCTTATAATTTCAGTTCTTAAGTTGTTATGAAAAGGCCATGAACTATTATTTTGATATGAGCTATTTTCAGTAGAAACAATTGAGTAATTGTAAACATCACTTGATTCAGCAATGTTATTTTGCAATGTCCTGTTGGCTGCTTCCTCTTTTCCTGAGACATTTACCAAACCAGAGGATGTAGGCAAACAGGGAGTTACACTTTCATACTTGGGTGTTTTTGTTGTTGTATGGAACCTGGGGTTTGGTTTGCGTATTCTGCGAGGAAGACTCCGTTCAGGACCAGCAGTTGTTTTTCTGATTATGATCTTGCCTCTTCTGGGTGCCTGTGGGGGCATCAGAAACCTTCCAGTAGAAGGGCATTGCTGAAGACCACACAGGGCCTTAGAGTTTGGTCTCTTGGAACTATCACATGGCTCATCATTATTTTTGGCACAAGTGACATTACGAGTCCTGATTCCACCACCGCAAGTGACTGTGCACTGCAAATTAAACAGAATTAATATATTTCCCTTCTTCACTGCATTGCACAGAATGCAGATGGTATTTGTTTATAATAAAGAAGCATCATGACAAATAATCAATTACAAAGCTTTTCCTGAAGAACAAGCGTTTCATTCTAGTGATGTTCTGCTACCATGGAGTTCTTTCCAAATTTTTTGACAGTAAATGTCACCTCGAGGAAATAGTAGTGAAAAAAGACTACATGATAAAGACAAAATATCAAAGTAATATGACAGAATTTGATTTCTTCACTGACTCACAAAGTTATCTAGCCAATACGTTTTCCACCAGGTTTATAAAAAACAGAGTAAAAATCTGGAATCGAACCCATACCTGACTGATTCAGTGCTGCCCCAGTGTCACAAACCTACTGTGGTGTAATTTCTCTGCAGCTCACAGACCCTCACTGACTTTACGAAATGGATTTTTCATTCAGTCTTAGTAGAACCATGAACTGATGCCAGTGCTTCTAGCACGTCTCTCCTCAATTAGAGACTACTGAAAGTAATTAGCTAACCTGGTTTCTATATAAAGGAAAGCACTGCTGTGTATAAAGGGTGCTGGGAGCTAAGGAGACCCAGATTTCCTGTGATGCTTTTCATCCTCAGGCCCAGAGGTGCCCGCTGTCACTCCAATAAGGGTTTTGTAAAATAACACTTCTCTGGTTTGAGATACTAAGGCTTGATGACTGGTTGAGTAGGAATGGAGATGTTCCAAAAAAGCCTACTAGAAGAATTCTTCCTAGGATGCAAGGAAGCCTAACCAGGTGCTCAACATGAAGTGATGAACTCTCCTTTTGCCAGGACTTTCTTGCTCCTGGCACATCTAACTCATTTTAGTGCTAGTCTGGGTCATGGGGCAGTAGAAACACCAGTGACTTTGTGTTGCTGGGGCACTCTGTTGTTCACAGCTGTAAAGTAACATCAGCTCTGCAGCAACAGGAGCAGGAAAGCAACCACAGTAGCCTCACAGTAGATGGGTTCATTAGCTCCTGTCATTTGTGCAAGTGAAATAGCCTGTCCTACACTCTCTCTCCAGTTTCTGCAGGTACAAAAATGTATTTTTGTCAGTAAGTTGTGAATACAATCCAACAGCACATGAGCACCAGCAGTGTGCCATTCCTACATAACTGTACCACTAGTCATGTAAGCTTAATCTATTTTTTCACAGGTATTTAAAACATGGGGGTTAACAAAACAATCAACATTCTGTGATGATGGTGTGTGAGCATAAACCAATCCAATACAGTCAAAAGATTTTTTTAGTTCAGTATGTGACTCTGTTCTCATAACAGTGAGTGTAATGAAAGAAAAGATTGATGAGAGAAATGAGAGAGGAGTTTTAAAAAAGAAGGGAAGGTAGTATTTACAGCTGGAAGGGACCCTCAGCAATCACCTACTCCAACTGCCTGAGCATTTCATGGCTGACCTAAAGTCAAAGCACGCTGCTCAGGGCATTGCCCAAATGCTCTCTTGAACACTGACAGGCTGGAGACATCCTGTTCCAGGGTTTGACCACCCTCCCAGGAGAGAAATGCTTCCCAATGTCCAACCTGAACCTCCTCTGGTGGAGCTGTGAACAATTCCTGTATGTGCCCAAACTATGGGGAAAAAGGCAGTGTCTTGGATGCAAGAGATATGAATGTAAAGAATTTAAAAATGCTCTGTTGACCTACAGAGGTGACAGCAGTCAACCCCCCAGTCTGGCCCACAGCAGCCATTGCTCTCACACAGACTCTTCAGCACTAAGCACACTGTGCTCTACAGTCCCCAAAAGCTCAGCAAGTTAACATGCAACACTTCCTAAAGTCTTTAGAAAGCAGGGCTGGTTTTTTTTTCCCTGCATAAAGGATTTGTGAACACATTAAACAACAGAAAAGTATTTTTGAAAAAAAATTAAAGCAGCAAAACAGCAGGAAGTTGGTCCTCTCTGCTGACTATAATAGACAATTTTGACAAAAAGTTCAGTGCCTCAGCTGACATGCATTTACCTCAGTCCAGTTGCTCACTGTCCAGTCAGATGGGCACAAGATATCTCTGTTGCATGACAGGTGGGTCTTTGGTTTCAGCAGGTGCTGGCACTCTGTGACATCCAGTGCCTGCTCATCAGATCCCACCGTCTGGATGCAAAGCACAGTTCTCTTCTTCTGGCCTGTTGGGCCACATGTGGTCGAACATTTCTGCCATTCCCCTGCCCACCACCTGAAAACCAGCAGGGTGAGAAACATCAGAAAACAAATCAGTACAAGCGCATCAAGGAAAAGGTCAGAGACGGCAAGAAAAAGAGCCAGTAATTTAAAATCTGGGCTCAGATACATGTTCTTTACATGAAGTTCAGATCACTCAAGCTCTCCCATCCACCCTGTGCTCTAGTACCAGTCAATGAAAGACAGAAGCAGGCAAGATGTCCAGACAGAAGTAGGCACTAAGCTTATGCTTCAATAAAGTGTAAAAATCTACTGAGTAGGCAGTCCTTCAAATCCAAATTTGAAGGAACTGCTAGCAAATCTACTTAAACAAGTAATCTATTTACTCCATCCTACTGTTTTTCTGTTTATTGCTACCTCAGTCCAGAAGAGTTAACGAATGAGAATGACTGGGGAGTCTGTAATGACAGCAGAGAGGTGGAAAAGGTCCCTCTCCCCATGTGTAATGGATAAAGGGAGCCAGTACTGCACAAATACTCAAACTGGCTCTCTGTATGGGTTCCTCAAAAAGGGCTGTTCCCATTAGGGGGAGCAGTGAGGCACACAGCCCCAAAAACAGGTTAGTCAGAGCTATGCTGTGTGGGATCAGTGCCCTGCAGCACTGTCCCTCTGCACATCGTATCCAGGTCTGTCCTAGGCTGGACTTTTCACTCCTTCACAAAGTAGAAATGAGTTCCTTATGTGTCAATGTCATGATTAAATTCAGTCTTCCATACTGTGGTGTGCAGTTTCCCACCAAACTAACTCTAGAACATAATTTTCCAACGTGCAAGGTGCAATTAGAAGGTCCAACGTTCCAAGGTGCAAAACACCTTAGCAACAAGAGCTGTTCCCTTTACCTTTGGGTCACCTTAGCATTTCTCCAGCATCATCCAACTATTTTTTCTCATGCTGACCCAGAGCAGATTGTGCACTTGCGTATCTGCCTTCCATGATAAGAAAGGGGAGCAAAAATTTCTGGGTTTCTACAGTTTGAGAAGCATTGGCATCAACTGTGACATTTACCTAAAGATTTATCTTTGCAGTTGAAAAAAAAAAGAAGGAAAAAAAAATCTAACCAACAAAAGCCTTTTTCCTTCACTTAAGCATTCCCTAAGCAAGAACACAACTTCAGGCTGCTACATAAAAAAATCTGGGCCAGTTCTAAACTCTAAGCTACAAAAGCTGCTAAACAATATTGCTTGTTCCAGAGTTTTCAAGGAGGTCACAACAAAGCCTTATAATGAAAACAAAGAAGGAATATATTTTAAAAAATCTTTCTAGGAAAGAAAAAAGCAGAAAAATTGCTTTTGGCTTACAACTAACCGTATTCTATTTTTTTTCTTTTAAGGTTCATGAGCTTAGAGACAAAATAATCCTATTCTGATAAATATATCAAGGTTCAGCATCCAGGTTGATAACAGGTTTTATGCTTTGTCCTTGCTGATAATTCCTCTCCCCTCCCCACTGTAGTTCCATGTTCCTTAATTCATTTTTACTTCCATTGCATATGGACTGATGCTGATGTGGAAGACACTGCTATCTATTCCTAATAATTGAAGAAAAAACAACCCAAACAACCAAGACGCACAGCCATGAAGCTACAATACAGCTTATTTGTGCAGCCATCTGGGCCTCTCTGTGGCACCTACACCCATCTTCTTCCTGTTTAGTAATCTACACATACAGCATTTCTTTTTAAGTTCCCCAAAGCCCTTCGTGGCACTGACTGCTTTGCTCCAGAATGCAGTCCACCTCCACCACAACCCAGTGGTAAGGTCTCTAAAGCTAAAAAACCACCCAAAATATCTTTCTCCTCCTCCTGCCTTCCTTCAGGTTGTTTCTTGTTCTTCCAGATCTGCAAACAACAAAGGAATTCTAACAAGTAAATAGAAAAAGTAAGTACATCTCAGCAGAACACGGCAATAAAAAAGAGTAAATTATCACCACTGAATCAAGCCATTTCAGGGTTGTTATCATCTCTTGCATCTTCTTTATAATTTTATCTCTTCTATAATCTTGTAAATTGCTGACATTTTGGCACAAATGGAACATAAATATGTGAATTGCCCTATTAATTTTAATGGGACCAGATTACATATTTCCAGGTACGGATATGCTAAACTGACACCTCTTCCCCCTCAGCATTTTCAAACGGCTCTGACTGAGGGTTTAACAATTGGCATGTTGAAATACCAAACTCGAAGCAATAAATTATCAGAGCTTACCACAGAACCTTGAGCAGCAGTAATGGTGTGTGATTAACTGTTGCACAAAAAACACTTTTTAAAAGCTGTGGAGGTAGTCAAAAAGTCAGATGCTCCACAGTTAGAAAATCCCAGAATTAAGATTTTATTCTATTCCATCTTCATGATCCAAATAAAACTACTTTCAGACAGGTAATTTTTTTCTGTAGACTTCTTCCTCACTCAGCATAGGTAAGTTCAAAAAAATTTGCTTTAACTGGAAGTTAACTCTTATCATTAACTGGAATTTTTGATATTGTGTTTTCTTATTTTCATCCTAGGGGGCATGCATATGCCTTAAACATCCAAGAGTAAGAAACTTGACATGGAATCACCTGTGCCTCTGTCTCTTCATGGTTTCTGCTTGAGGACCTGAACTGTGGCATCTCAGCCAAAGGGGAACAAAGGCAAAGCAGGGATGGCAAAACAGCCAAGGTCCATTTGTGTGTTCTGGTACAGGATGCCCCAGAGCAGGCTCTGAACCACAGGGAAGAGAGCAGCACCTGAGTGACTGCTTTGCCAAACCCTGCTCATCTTGGAGCTTCTGCTGTGTCCTCACACTGCAGAGGCACAACCAAAACTGGGCATGACTGTGGAACACACACCCAGGATCCAGAAAGCACTTTCCTTATGGTATTTGTTAGTCTCAAAAAGGGCTTCTGCAGGCCATCAGGTAGGTTTAAATGGCTATGAAAGGTTCTTGAGTTACTCATAGACAACAGAAAACACAGCAGCACCAGGCTATTCACAGCAAGCCTGGGTTTGCTGACCTTTCCTTTAGTCCTTGAGAAAGCTCTTTAAGCAGAACACAAACCAGAGTCACACAATAACCCTCTGACTCCTAATGTGAATTCAACTTTTAAGAAGTTTTGGTACACATTTGAACTGAAATCAGTGATGAAAAAAGTCTTCTAAGTAAGCAATACACAACATCCAGCACAAGAGGCAAAGCACAGTGAGCAAGAGACACACAGAAATAATCCAAACAAGTAATCTGGGTTATTTCCTAACATTTCCATTTCTACAAATTCCACTCATTTAACAGAAAGAAACATGAACCAAAATACTACATTAACCTAGTGTGATTCTAAAGAAAGCCAGTTTCCAGCTTCCCACATAGCTCTCAATAATTTGAGGCAGATCTCTTGCTGCAAGCCAATGTAAACAAAAGTATTGCAATATTACAGTTTGAAAAGCTGCAGTGAGACTGATACAGAGGCATTAAAATAGTCTCAGCAAATCTTAAGGACTAAAAAGACTGAAAAAGCATTTATTAACTCTCATTAAATTAACTGTGCTATTAATTCACAGCAATTAATACACAGCAATCTCAGCTCTAAATACACAACTTCTGGGATGAAATGACCAAGCTGCTGGATCTCCCAGCCAAGCTGGAGACTCTGGTGAGAGACTGGGACAAGTTGATGGAAACTAAAGCCTCATGGGAGTCACCAACAACACTTGTTCCTGCCTCTGGTTTCTGATTCTACCTCTGACATTTACTGCTACAACAACTGAGTGGTTCTTAAGTTATAATGCATCAACAAATCTCTGCAAAATAAAATTACTGTCTTATCTCCACAGGCAGGCATGGCATGGAAAGATTGTGGTAGCAAACAAACAAACAAACAAACAAACAAATGCAAAATGCACAATTTAGGTAATTAATTTGCATGAGCACTAATTTTCCTCAGACTGTCAAAATAAGAGAGCAGCCTGTCTGGTGAAAAACATAAGCTCAGGCAGTTTTGAGCTGCAGGTGTGAGTGCTCAGCTCTTCTGCAATTAAGCCTGGGACAGAGATAGGAAGAAAATCTCATTCTTTCAGGTGGCATTCAGTTGCCTTAAGTAAGATTTATCTTTTTCTCACAAACTGGGTTTCTAAGGCTTGTAACAAATTAGGCAGAGCCCAAAATCCTACAACATAGTCCTCACCTATACCTAGAAGACATGTGAATCCTGTTGAAAAAGCAGTGGCACATGATTTTGGGGCTATGGGGCTAAATGTTCCCTCCTTCCCATCATGGCATGTCACATCTAAAGAGAGACTGTTGGCTTTCATTATCTATTGGTCTAACATCAGGAACAGCAAATACCAACAGGGCACACAGATTCTCACTCTGTACATTGGAATAGAAACCATATTTCCTATTCTTATTATGCTGCTGGAAATGTAGGAAGCAGTCTGGAAGCAGGACAACACAATAACAACAGCTAAAAAGCAGGAGATTCCAAGTACTTGTAAAATAACCTATTTATGCTTACTCTGTTCAAGTGGGTAGTCAAATTAAAAAGGCTCCAGACAATTTTCTTTACAGGGGAAAGCAAAACTTTATTCACAATGCTATAAGTAGTTAAAATCTCACTCTTTTTCAAGTATCATCCATTGAGTTTAACATTAACACCTATGGGACTAAATATCTACCTACCAAAGAAACATTGAACTGGAAACCATACTCCGTAGCACAATGTGGAAAAAAGCATGCATTTATGCTACAATCTCGATGCACTGCACCTAATCAATATCATTGAAATGACATTTTAACTCTCAGCTGTCCAGACATATTTTTATTTTGCTCTGAATCAAAACATGTCATACATACATTGTGATATTTTTAATTTTTTTAAAATTTTCCTCTGAATTATTTTAGAAGAGAGTGTAGTAATAAGTGCAATAAGAAGAATAAAATAAAAACAGAGCAAATCAGACTGAAAAACAAGAATGTTAAGGCTTAGGCTTCTCAGAAATCTGTAATTTAAACAGTTTACACCTCACTTTCTGAAATGGATTAATGAGATAAGATCTGGTTTGTGACAGCCACAATCACATTATTCTTTTTCTGTAGCTTCTGGTTGATAAATTATCTATTTCTTATTTAGTGGCCTAGTAGCCTGTTTTCCATCAGTGGGATTTAGTAGGGAAAAACCATCTTTTTTTGGACAGAATGTACTATAAAGCACATGGTTCACTTTTGAGAAGTGCAAGGTCATCCAACTATTTCAGTTCTGTGGCTGCAGCACTAAAGACAGGTCTCCTGCAGTGCTGTGTTTAACATCTCTGCCCTCACCTCTATCACAGAATTTAGCCACCTCTCTATTGAACACTTTGTCCTCAGCAGCTTCACGTGGACTCTCACTTATCCCATGTAATGCCACGTGGGACAGTCACACCTGCTTCCAGCATTCAGGTTTCTTTAGAACCAACAAAGTGCCCTAAGTTGTCTTCTTGGGTTTCAAAGGAAGATTAGTAACCATCTGTCTGGATTAGAGGTGCCACATATGCCATGGAAAAGTGAACATCAACTAACCCCGTGCTGGGACTATACAGAAAGCAGATCTACAAAAGGAAGGGCTTGGGAAGAGTAAGTAATAATCTGCTCTTTGCTGCCATCTCTTCTGACACAAGAACTCAGGGCCACCAACAGAAGATACTGAGAACCACGTTCAAAACAGTTAAAATGTGGTGGTGCTTCACACAGGCACTAGAGCCATGGCTCTTCTTGCAGAGGAAGTTGTATATAAGAGAAGTTTTTCAAGGCTGCAGGGGGAGGCTGGATGAGTGAGGTTCATTGGAGGTTACTGATTAGACGAGCCATAAAAACCTTTGGAAATGCCTTGAATTAAAACCAGTTGGAAGCTGGAAGAGCATTACAGAGAAATCTGATTTGTGTTTGATTAATTCCTCCTTAGGCATGAAGGCCCTGCTGAGAGCTAGAACAGGGACTCAGACCCTTGGTCAAGCTCCTACAGTCACTTTTGTGTGACTAAGAGAGAAATAAATGTGCAGCATGGCTCTAGAATTAAATACATATGGTTTTCCTGCACTGCACTTTGTCATGATTTTGCTGTCCCCAGTAGGATGACTTGTGATTTCCACTGCAGCACAGAATGAGCTCAAGAAGCATAACAGGCTGTCAGCACACAAGATCTTTTCTGCCTGGTCTGCAGAAAAGTTTGGTTTATGTATGATATTCTCTAATCTACTCAAAAAGGGACAAATTCCCCTTCCTCACTTTCTGAAGAGCAGATTTGAATAATGCTGTCACTTAGAACAAATGGCATAAATTGAGTTAATTTGGAATTTTCAAAATGGCAGTACAATTTGTGCCATAAAAAACCACCTCATCTCTTAACTAGTCAACTAATTAAAAATTTTGGTCTACTGTCAATTGATTTCCTGGCAATCTACAAAGAATTATGAAATGCTAGTAGTTTATGCTGCAAGCACAAAGATGTAACTCCCAGAGAAGCACCATATACTGTTAAGAAGATACTTGGAAACAACGAATAAACCAAATGATCATGCAGAACTTTTATCATCAAAGTTTCATTAAATTCACTGCTGGCAAATACAACACAATGAACTCCAAGGGCTCGCTACTTCAATTTGATTTTGATTGAACCAGAATTACTGGTGTACCTTTGTGAACATGATAAAAAACTTTCAAAGACAATAGAAGATAAAACCAGGGTACCTAAAGCATGAAACAAAAACCAATATTGATCTCTTCCAGCAAATCTGTGCCTGTTGTACAAGCCCACAGTTCTGCAAGCACCTGGAATGTTCAGTCTTCCTTACCCTATTTGTTAAAATGGTAGTACAGAAAAAACAGAGATGAATATAAATTAAGACAATGTTAAGAGAAAGGAAGGAATTATTCCCATGTGATCACAGAATGAAGAAAACTGCACTTCACTCAAAACTAAAAATAAGAAGGAACATAATAAAAAAAATGCCAAATACTGTGTTGCCAAGAAAGTATAAAAATTAGTTTTAGAAGTAGGCATTTCTACTCGTCATCTCTCATAAAAAGGAAAAAAGAGTATAAAAAATACTGAGAAAAAACATCTAAAGGCTCCGCTAGTTGTTTTTGGAACACAAGGTAATTCTTTTTAGCTCACTTGAGCTAAGCCAAGAATAGAGTTTTTAAATATATGACCTATATGATCTTCAGGCACAACTGCACCCAAACTGAACAAGAATAGTATCTACATACATGAGAAAACAATCTCTGCCATTTCTGCTCAGTTACTTTCCTTAGAAACCTCTCAGGATGGCTCACTTCTGATTTATTATGGCGTTTCCAGCACCTTGCTCTGCAATGCGTGGCAGCCCTCACCACGGCAGGCTTTGGCTGCCACGCCAGCCCGGCTCCGGGAACACCTTCCTTCGAGTGAGGACGCTGCTTGCCACCCCCAGAGCCGCCCAGCGCCCTTACCTGGGCGGGCAGTCCCGCTCGTGGCATTTCTTCTGCCGCCCGTGGGGCTGCGTGGCCGGGTCACAGAAGGAATTCCTGGTGGCTCCGCTGCCCCTCCACACGCAGTGAGCGATCTGCCGCCGCACCCCTGACACACACACACACACACACACAAATAAAAAAAGGAGCAGTCATCCCCACCGGCTGGGCATCAACTGCAGAAACCCACAGGTATGTGCATCCTTCAGTCAAGCTGAAGAGGTTAAGCAGAGCTCTTCTGGATCGGATCAGAGCTCAAGTGACATATTAGAAAGCACTTTCCTTATGGTATTTGTTAGTCTCAAAAAGGGCTTCTGCAGGCCATCAGGTAGGTTTAAATGGCTACGAAAGGTTCTTGAGTTACTCATAGACAACAGAAAACACAGCAGCACCAGGCTATTCACAGCAAGCCTGGGTTTGCTGACCTTTCCTTTAGTCCTTGTGAAAGCTCTTTAAGCAGAACACAAACCAGAGTCACACAATAACCCTCTGACTCCTAATGTGAATTCAACTTTTAAGAAGTTTTGGTACACATTTGAACTGAAATCAGTGATGAAAAAAGTCTTCTAAGTAAGCAATACACAACATCCAGCACAAGAGGCAAAGCACAGTGAGGAAGAGACACACAGAAATAATCCAAACAAGTAATCTGGGTTATTTCCTAACATTTCCATTTCTACAAATTCCACTCATTTAACAGAAAGAAACATGAACCAAAATACTACATTAACCTAGTGTGATTCTAAAGAAAGCCAGTTTCCAGCTTCCCACATAGCTCTTAATAATTTGAGGCAGATCTCTTGCTGCAAGCCAATGTAAACAAAAGTATTGCAATATTACAGTTTGAAAAGCTGCAGTGAGACTGATACAGAGGCCTTAAAATAGTCTCAGCAAATCTTAAGGACTAAAAAGACTGAAAAAGCATTTATTAACTCTCATTAAATTAACTGTGCTATTAATTCACAGCCATTAATACACAGATGGTAGATCCCTGCATCTCTAGAACTTTTATCCTTCTCCTGGGATGCACAGGGCCTGTTATCATGGCATCAAGGATAAGTGTTAGATTATTTTGCAGTAAGTTTAGGAAACAAGCTTTTCCTTTCCTCAGGCCTCCTAATAACTAGTGTGGGAAACTACGTGGAAGAACAGCAATCTATAGAAAATAATTGGGAAATAGTAATATATTCCTCTGCAATATACCTACTCATAGGATCATAAAAATGTTAAGTTTAGAAAAGCCCTGTAGGATCAACAAATCCAGTCATTAATCCTGCACTGGCTGAACCAAACAGAAGAGAGTTTTGCATGTATATTTGGGTCATTTCATAGAAAACAATGGAAACCTATATCCTTTTTCTTACCACCTGAGAATATCAGGTATGTGAGGAAATGCTTTCACTTTTTGACTACTTTCCGACTTCTGACTGACATATAAAACAATTACTGACTAAAGCAAAAGATTGATGACTGACTCTGCTCCAGTCAGATATGAAGGCTGATCTTGGGGAACAGTGATTAGTGTCACCTGTAAGGGAAGATTAAGAGACTGAGGCATTCAAGCTCCAGGGTCCATGGTGTGCAAGCTGCTGCAAGACTGCAGTAAGTCTGGACATGGTGATCTCTTATCCATAGGCGACTTCAAACAGGAGAAAGCTTTCTGGCTCTGTGTAGAATTCCCAGGGAGCAGTGCTCTCTCTTATGCTCTGGTATAAATGTGACTAGAAAATTCAGCAACCTTCCTGCTAGCTGTAAACAAAGCAGTTCGCAGACACGTTTCTGTCCCTTTCAAAATCATGTTATGTTGCTGTTCCAAATGCAAACAACAAGAAATCTTTTGCTTTGATAAATTTTCCGTGTCATTTCAGCTGCTGCAATTCACTTCAAAGCCCCTATAAACCTTTGCAAGAGTTTTGCCTTGAAGTTGTACATTCTCATAAAGTGAACAGCTGACATCTATTAAATAGTTTATTCTAACAATCAAATTCTTTATGAAAATTATGTGAACTCCCACTGTAGTTTCAGAATCTCTGGTAGTTCAGCTCCAAAGCTGGAAGGAATCCTACATACATATATCAATACACACATATAAATGTAGGTTTACATGTTATGACATAATGAAATGTTTTTTATCAGTTTGAGCAAGTTGAAGTAGAAAACATTGCAGAAGTAGACAACTAGTCACTACTGACTCTGCCTTAGCAAGTATGTACAGTTATACAACTTCAGTGGGTATTATTCTATTTAAGCCACAGATTAAAAATTCTAAATATAGTGAAACCGCAGTAATATTTGAAACCTAAACGTTATTTCTAAAGGGCTTTGAGTAGCAGCTGTTTTCCTCATTTCACCACTTTGACTTCTCTCTGACCTCAATGCTGATTAGTTCACCTGGTGTGTACTGTCTCAGTTCTCTGAAAAAACAAGTATTTCTGGGAAAGATAGGAGAAACCAAGAAAGATAATTGTCAGGTCAGAGAATAATCTTCATTTCACTAAATCTACTCAGTGATTCTTCCTACTTTCCTGTAAAACTTTATCCCTAATGCAGGACTCATTAGATGTGTGGCTGACCCACACAGATCTTGATATCTCACTTGGTTTGCAAAGAAAGGTACCAATGCAAAGTCATCTGGGTGTGAAAGGCCTTTGAGAGAGGGATTAGAAATTTTTTTTGCTGCAGAGCCCTCAGTTTGGGCTGTAAACAACAGAAATGAAGGATCATAAGCAAGTGTATAAAAGGTGTATGACAAACACACATATTTGATTTTAGAGCTCACTTGAACATGTAATTGTCTGAATTAGACACCCTTAGATACTCTGTAAGGAGTTCACTTTGTGTTTGAATGAACAAATTATATTCTGTGCATGCACAAGTTATGCACAGAATACAAGTGTCAATCTTTACATTCTCAGTGCTATAAAACTCAGACCCACAACAGTGAATGGAAACATTTGACTTTTGCGTTCTAAAATCAACACTGCAAGTTTAGGAACACTTGGAGATAATTTTGCAAAGCAGCCTTTGTAAAAGTGGTGGATTTAGAGGGCACAATTAACAGTTAACCCCCAAAAAAATCTTAAAGTCCTTTCACAGAGCTTTGAAAATCTGCCAATTGCCAATATTATCCATGGAGAAACAAATTTTTGATGTTGGTTAATATTCTCCCTTAGTTGCAGCTGTGCTGTGCTACACTTTTTGTTACAGTCAATGCCACTCTAAGCTGGTTCTAAGAAGCAAGATTAAAGTTATAGACAAGGAGGAAGGATTTATACTTGTAATTCCAACATTACCCATTCCAGTTTTATTTAAAGAAGGAATAATAGGTAGCTAGTCTAGAAAAAAACCTCAGTGACATATTTAAATTAATCTGCATGTAAAAAAGCCTACAGGCTCTCCCTGCTGCCTTGAGAGCAGGCTCTGGTGGGACAGCTCTTGTCCAAAGAGAGCAGCAGTTTGCAGGACACCAGTGGGCACACATTCTGGCTGCAAGGAAATTCCTTTCAGCATAAAGCAAATGGTAGGAAGAGATTCAACCTGTCCTGCACTGAGAGAAAGGGCTTTGATTTTTACTACAAATTATCCCCTTTGGTGCTTGTTTGGCATTAACTGCATTGCAAAGTAATTACTTGTGTATTTTCTACACTGCAAATGAGTATCAGGTATTGCAACATGTTCTCCTTCTCCCTGCATACAGTACTATGTATACTTGCCACAGAAAACATTGATTTTTCAGAGAGTATTTTTTTCCCCATTCAGTGGTGTTACAGTAGACTGGCCAGAGCCTTCTTTGTCACTACAGCAGATGGGAGCACATGATGGGAGCTGGAGAAGGATATGCATCAGGGCATGGCAGGGTACTACCTTGAGGCCAAGAGTCTGGGACAGAATGTGTCCAGGGAGCTACTCTGCATTCAGTCTGGGAAGAGACAGCTTCACTCTACAAAGTCTTATTCAGCACTGGGACTTTTTCCAGGTACATTTCCCATGGATAAGGAGCTGCATCACAGTGCTAAAATAATATTTTTTTCTCTTAGGACTGCATTAGTATATTGCTCTGCCTGTAGCCCAATTTGTTATTCCCTAATGCAAATTTTCTTTCTTGGCTCCAGAAAGCATTTGTTGGTATTGTACTGATTTCTGTGGCTACCACAGGCTGAAGTATACTTGGATTTATTGTGTTGTGGTTTTGACCAGGGGTGATGAAAGGACCTACGTTGGCTCTTTGGCAGGTCCAGGTTTGCCAAGAGAATAGAAGTCAGTTCTCTTGGATCAGTTTCTCCCACTGGCTGCAAAGTTAGTTCAACAGTTCATCTTTCTGCGTCCTCCTTTTCTATCCTAAAAATATCTGTTTATTGTTTACCAAATGGTAATTGCAATAACCTTTAAAAGCTATTTACTACTAACATTAGGCTAAATAATTACAGATTTTTTAATTTATCTCTCTGTAGGCTTGTCTTCAGTAAGACTTGTTGTGCAGCACACCCACAGCAGAAGACAATCTTGTCTACTTCGTGCACTTTTACCTTATAAACCTTTCAGAGCACTTCAAATGCCAGTGATTTGGTACAAGTGTGTTACTGGCAACAGCAATAAGATCTGAATTTAAACAGAGTGAACATTCACCTAAGATCAATCGCATTGTTCACAGCCAGAAGGAAGTTTTGTGCAAGTCAGTTGGACATGAGGGAGAGCTTCTTCACTGGAAGGGTTGTCAAGCATTGGAAAAGGGTGCCCTGGGAAGTGGTGGAGTCACCATCCCTGAGAGTGTTCCAGAAACAAATGGATGTGGCACTTGGGGCCATGGTTTAGTTGCCAAGGTTGTGTCTTGGACTCCATGATCTTGCAGGTATTTTCTACCCATAATGGTGCTATGAGCAGTGATGCTGGTCCACATCCCAATGGCCCAGGGCACAACCAAATAAAAAGTGTATCTGCAGAGAGCTGCAGGCAGATTGGCATATCAGACTTCTCTGCTCCAAGTGATGCACTGGAGCTCTGTGCCAGGATTATCTGTTTTAATGGGCAGGGAGGGAGAGACAACACCCTGACTGCATCACTGCATCATCAAACTTCATCCTTCTTTACACCTGACCAGTTACTTTTCTAACATCTGTATCTCAGAGCAAAGAGATTTATTCATTTCTTTTCATCTGTCTCTGAAGGAATACAGAAAACTGGTGAGGTGTCTGTGCCCTTCATGAACTGGGATGCATCTCTTCCAAGTGATGCCATCAAGTCCATAATCTTATCTGAAACACACGATTCCTACTTATACAAAGGCAGTAAGATTTAAAAAAAAATCTATTAAGAGCACAAATGCAGCAAACAGAGGAAGTAAATTAGTAAATAAAAACTGAAAAAAACTCACATACCACAGTTCTCAAAGTAAACCATGTGGCAGTTAGAAAACAAAGCCACCTCACACTGTTAGCCGAAGAGAGTACACAGGGCTACAATTTACCCAGTGAGCAACAGTTCTGGGAAAACTGCAGCTAGCTACTTCAGGGGAAGTTCTCCTGCTAGCATTCTGTGTGAGTTACCAGAAGCCGACTTCTAGACCTGTTGTTAAATCCTACTTCACAATCATCATTCTGCTTGTCTGGTTTAATGTGCTGCACAGAACTACAATACAACTGCAGTGGAGCCCAAGCCATTGCCAAAATGGCAAAGACATTGAAATTCTCAGGATGAAAGCAATTAAGTAATTATTGAGCAATGCACAAAAAAGAGTTGTTGCTTGTCAAGGCAGGACAGGAATGAAGAAAATTTTTGGTAGTTATATTGAAAAGACTTAATAGGGAAACAATAGTAGGTCATAAATTTGTATTGCTGGAAAGAAGGGCTATGGTGAACAGCATGGACAAAAATTAGGAGGGAAAGAAAACTGTACCTTCTTATTTTGATTAACAGAAGCTAAGAATTTCAAGGCAGGTGTTTTAGAAACCTATTTGACTTACATAACTTTAAAATTTTTTATTTAGATGTCAAAACACATTATTCACAGAAATATTCAAAGAATGGCTGGGGTCGGAAGGGACCTTTGGGGATCATGCAGTCCACCATCCCAGCACCCCCCTGCCCCGTTAAAGTAGGGTCACCTGAAGCTGCACGGGATCACAGCCAGGCAGATTTTTAATGTCTCCAGAGGAGACTCCACAGCCTCTCCAGGCAGCCTGTTCCAGGGCTCTGCCACCCTCCAAGTAAATAAGTTATTCCTCACATTATTTTTGTAACCACATGATCTAGTTTCCCACCAAATGCAGATTAAAGAACTCCTCTTTGAGGAGGACTACATCTGTAATGAAGGCAAACAGTAAGAGAAAAAGAAGTGAGGAATTACCTCTTCCACAGGTAACACTGCAGGCTGTCCACTCTCCATATTGCCAAAAATACTCTGGCTCTCCAATCTCATTCTCATTACTTTCTTCTTTACGTACAGTGTATTCATACTCGATTCCAGGGTTAGTTTCTTGAAAAAGTAGCTAGAGAGAGTGGGGTTTATTAATTGTTTAATTAATAATCTACTGGTTAAAAGCTTTCAAAATGAGAAACTGGAAGAATTAAAGCTGCCCATATTGGACTCTGCTACCAATCCAAAGAAGCAGATTTGCAGAATTCCTACTTCTATGTCAACAGTGGCATAAGTGAATCTTTCAAAGACACAACTGTTTACCATGCACTTCTGCAAACACAGAATTCCCACAGGAATAAATGGTTCACCATAATTGGTATTCCATTGACTATAAGACAAGAGAAAGCAAAATCCATCCAAAGCATCTCTATGGTGCTGATTAAGAACTATTGCCTAGCCCCATTATAAATTAACATTTTCCTACATTTTGAAATAGCTATTACAAAACGACCATTAAGTCAGAAAATTACACACGCTATTCAGACACTGCTTTAATATTATTTTTCAGTGTTTCTGAATAAAGAAGAAAAATTCCAACTGTGAAGGGGCACTCAAATTCACCTGAGAGGGAGAAAGTAAACATCATTAAGGGATAAAAGACTTCAGCCATGAACTTTTACTCTTCTTCCCAATTGTACTAGAAGTGAAGACTGTGCACTCATTAGTTTTGCCTTCTCACTACACATTCAAACTGTGAAAGTGGTCTCCCATCACACCCCCACTTCTTTTAATTGCATGGTGGATACCCATGCAAAACAAGCCATTAGAGATACTTTCAAAGACCCAAGGGTCAATTCGAAATTATTTTTTCAGAACTGACAGACGCTGGTTATGTTTAAGTCAGAATCCATAAAATGACATGAAAGAAACAAAAGAAAGCAGCTTCTGTGGATGTTAAATGGGTCAGTTTCACCTACTGCTATTAACACATCTATGTAATGCTGCATTCTTTTCTTGCTCTGGGTAAGCTGTCACTGCTGTCAGCTGTCCCTAGCTCTCACTGTTCACAGCCTGCCATCAGCTCCCTTTTTGTGACAACTTATTTTTCGCCTGGATCTGGTTCACATCACAACCATGCTTTGGTCAAATTTGGTAAAAGAGACAAGAAAGTTTGGGCAAATGACTGACCAACCATAGGTGACAGGATCCCTGTCCTAGTGGCAGCACAGGACTACATCAGCATTTAACAAATACTGGAGTATGATACAGGACATGTGTTCTTAGGAGGGATGAACAACTCTCAAAAGCAAGGTGTTTATTTCTCTCCAAAACAGCTTTATTGTTTTTTCAAGACAGCACATCAATAATGGTTTATATACCAACATATATATTTTCCCAGCCCACTTCCAGGACCACAGCACATTCTGCTGCCATCCAAATGAGCAGGTTCTGCTCGTGATCTCCTGTTTACCTGAATCCATATTGATTCATTGGTGGGTCCTGGAGCAGTCAGATTTTCTAGATCCCCTGTTCTGTCATACTGAAATATTGTGCCTGCCACTTTGTATTCACCATTCCACTGGATGATAAAGCCTCCATTCAGGTAGTATTTTTCTGGGTCTTTGCTTCGCACGGCAAGGAAATTTCCTGATTCTGTAACTTCCATGACTTTGATCCCCCTTGCACCTTTTGGAATTAGCCCAATATCAACATATCCTAAGAGAAAAGAAAAATTTATGTAGGTGAACAACAGAAATGTCACTGTATTTTACTTATTTGTAAGATGATTGAAACAACAGCTTTGCTTGAAAAAATATACAAACGTGCTGTCATAGGGCTTGTATTTCAGTTTGTTAATAGTGTGACTTTTCAAGTCCGGGTTTATAGTATCATTGGGGAATAGTGTTTTTTAAGCAATGCCAGTGGCATTTAGAAGGAATGCAGAGGTGAATGACTTTCAGAGCTGCACCAGGGGAAATCTACTCCACGCATGAGCATCAACATTTCCATAACCATGCCCAAGGGCTCTGGCATATGGTAATCTGGAGAAATGCCAGGGAGTTCCAGCAAGTTAACAGCCTCTTGTGGGAAAGTTTTTTTTTCAATTTGCAAAGAACATTTTCATCTGTACCCAATGTACAGGTATGTATGAAATTCCATGTTCTTTCTCTTAAGGCATCTAAGTTCTCTGTGAATGTTTACCTTACAACAACAACAACAAAAAAATGTTATTCAAATGCCTCAAATTACTACTGTAAATTAAGCACATTTTTGCAAACTACCGATTATCATAACAAAGTTCAATAGCTCTTCATGGGTAGTTATCTGTTCAGAGATTTTTGGGTCTGTGTGTTCAGAATGACCCAAAGCAGGTAAGAATTTTGTTTACATCACAGGCCACCTGTGACATCAAACTCTGTGCTTCTCACCTTAAAGGAAGCCACTATTGTTGTTGCTACTGAATTGTAAAAATAGGAAGTTCACATAGACACTTGAACACAAACACAGGTAGTTTTGTTGTTTTTGCCCCTAGCTGAGCTCTAGAAATTATATGGATGACATTGCTACAAGCTGGGTGCACTGGGAGTATGAGCTGCATTTTGTGCCAGTTTACTTCAAGACTGGAACACGAGTTCCCCAGTTCTCATCACACTCTTCTGAGGTCATGAATTGAATTCTGAGACTCACATCCTGTTCACCTTTCTTGTGAAATGAGCTTATCACCTTTGATTACTCACTTAGATAGTGAGATAAAGCACACTGGGCATGTTAAGCAATCTTCAGTATCAATGTTCTTTACCTACCAGAACTATTTATGTGCTGTATAACAACCTGCTGCTATAAGTAAGTGCCCAAGAGTCTTTAACATCTGAATTTTCTTTGCAGCTCTTTTGTGGAATAATACATACTGGTTAAAATGCCATATGCTGCTTATGACACAAAGCAGAATGTGTCCACTTCAGGTCCTTCCTAATTACATTGATAATAAATATATATATATATATATATATATATATATATATGGACTTTCAGTGATTGATGTTTAAGAAGGAGCATTTTCTGAATGTTAACTTTTGCAGGTCTCCTAGACTGACTGTGGAAATTTAAGTGAATCAGTTTTTTCTAAGTGAATGAAGTAACAAAATCTGGAAGCTCACTGAATTACTTCTATTATTCAAGAAATCAGTGGTCTAGGTCTATTGTAAGTAACCAAGTCTAATGATTCTCCCAAATGTTCTATTCATTCAGTGAAGAGAAGACATGAACAAAGTGTGTGATTATGCAACTGAAGGCTTGATTATAAGGCATACTTACAACCAGGACAAATTAACACAGCATGGAAAATCTTAATTATGTCAGATCCTGACAGCTTGGCTTTGCAAAGCTGGTGTCCTTTTACAGTATGGCTGGGTCAGGTGGTTTCTTTTAGCTTTAATTAGAATAACATTCTTAATTCAAAACACAAAGCATAGAAACTATAAAACAATTTTTTTTTCTGTTGTAACACAACAATCTGTATATCCTTTCGAGATTTTGCATAGTTACTTTGTCTGAATCACCTGCTGCTGCTCATAAGCCTTATTTTAAATGTATTGCAACTGTCTGGTAAGGGAAGTTACCATTCGTTCAGTGTATCACACTGCCTTCTCCCTGGCCCTCCCCACCAGCTAAATTACTTCCTGAATTCCCAGAGCCTCTCACTGATTCCCAATAAAACTTATCTGATTTTGAAAGGAAAGTTGATCAGCAGCAAACTTTTGAGTTTGTTACTCAACATAATAAATTTTTGTTTAAAAATTCTGTGGATGGTGTTAATGTAATTATTCCTGGTTATGTGCTTTCATTTGATAAGTATCTAGAGATCCAAGATTCAATAACAGTCAAATTGTCAGCTGTCTTACCATCACACTGGGCTCATTAAATCCTGGAGCAACCATATTGTGTTGTGCTTCTGCACACCTGTGAATTGGCAACCCTCAGATGATATTAATCCTTCCCTTTTTAATTAGAATTAAATCTATATACTCCCAAAACAGACATGCAACCCCTGATATACACATAGCTCTACAAGGACTGAAGAACTTGTTTCTCCTTTCCCACTTTTGTGAGAAAAGAATAGTTTTACTCAGGACATTAGCACAGCACTGCAGATCAAAAGAAGACCACCAGATCGGTTTCTCCTTGTCACAACAGTTCATTTTCCTACTCTCCAGCCAGTATTTAAAAGCCTCTTTTAAAAGTACACATTCCTGAGGCACAACTTTTCTCATGGCAAGCTCTAGACACTACTATGACTTCCCCACCCAGGCTTCACCTTCTTGCTTTCCCATGCCCAGCTCATGCTGTAACCTTTCTGTCACCAAAGTTCAGCAGAAGCAACTTAAATGATTTTCAAACAAACCCCCTGAAAACAAGGTGGCTAATATTAGTGTCAACAGCTGAGACATTGTGTTCATATTAGATCTCTGATTTGTTTTCCACCATGAATCTCCAACAGAAGCCATTACAAAGATGATGCAGCCCATGCCTGTGGCTCTGTTGGATGCCCCTGGATTGCTATTCCCATTTTTCACCCATAAGAAAAACAAAGACTTTTAAAGAAAATGCAAGTAATCATACAGATTTCAAAACTTTTCTTTCTGCCATGAGGCAGCACGACTTCTAAGAAGACTTCTTCAGGTAAAATTTATCACCCTGCCCAGCCTTCCACCTTCAGTGAAAGGCTCAATTATTAACTCTTCCCTAGCATTTCATTAGTTAGACATGTCAACTCAGAGAACACACACAGCTGCAGCACTAGACCAAGAAGGGCCCTGCTGGACTGAGGTTTTGAACAAAGATTTAAATCAGAATATATTAGCTTTGGCTTTGTATTTTTCTGTGCCACTGGACACAGAAAAACTTTTCAAATCTTTTTTGCCAGTGACTGGCAGCATGCCTTGGTACAGTTTTGTTACCTATGCTGAACTAATGAGCCTGAAGTTTTTATGTTTACACAAACTGTTCAGCAGCCATTCTGCTATAAAATCTAACACTGACAACTCATCTGTCAGACACGAAAAGAAAACATATTGTGAACAAAGCCCTTTTCCCAGTGTAACACCTGAGTACATCAGAGAAATTCACGTGTCCTGAAGAACCCACCAGCCTCCGCCTTGCCTGACATTTTTCCTTTTTTCATCTGCAATGGAGTCTATGTATATAGAAGGGAGAGAATCTGCAGAATCAACACATTTTTTACTGAATCTAAAGAAAGCATTGAAATAATTTAACAGTCTCTAACTCAGCAGCATCTATCAGTGAGGCTGACTGAATCTTGTGTCAAGGAAAAACTAAGTAAATATAAAACACAAAATGAATTCAAATAAAATAAAAGGCACTTATCCTTTCATAAGTTACGGTACTGTATCTTTTATACAAAATTGTTATTCAAAAATGAAGTTCACATAGTTAGCCTTAGAAAGCTCCCACACAGTCAAAGGCAGAGTGAATTTTAGATTTGCAGAAGCAAAAGATTAGAGGCTGAAGGATTACTGTAGTACTGGAAGAGAAGGAGCTCTAGATTTTCCTTTGTAAGTCTCAAATATATATGAAACCTGAACTGCTTCAGGATTGCAGACGTCTTCACAGCTCACCTTTGGGACACAGAGAGAAAAGCAAACTCAAGTACAGAAGAAAACCCCTCAAATATTATAGAAGCTTTTACACCAAACTTTGGAAAATCTGGTCAAACTAGCTCTAACTTAGTAGCACACATCATATGCAAGGTGGAACTATTGGATTTGAAAAACCCCACAAACCCCAAAATCAGCCAAAGGCACTGCAATTTCCCCCTCCTCACTACACTGGTCCCAGTTACTGATCTTGAGACTTCTCATCCCTGCATCAGCCTCTTTCTGTAGCTGCAGACCTCATTCCAAACATAACTCACCAGTGCCTTGTCTTCTCACCTCTCCCCCTCCTGTCCTCGTTTTTCCACTGAAAGCTGCTCATCCCAGCCATCTCTTCACCTCAGCTCACTGCTGTATTTCTTACTCAGTTTTAGTCCCACTCCTGCTTCCAGACTCTCTAGCTCCCATTCATCCCACACAAATCAACTTAAAGCCTGAATGTCTCCCTGCTGTCAGTGAAGATAGGCTCAGTCCTCCAAGTGCTTATTCAGACCACTTCAGCCCTGCAGGAAGTTACTTTCTCCCCTTTATGATGCTTAGAAATAAATCCCCAAGCCACTCACTCTAGCATTTGCTCAGTGCTTTTCACTTTACAGAGATTAGGTCCAGATTTTACAAGATGGCAAATTACATTCACTTTGTAAATGCACTTGCTATTTTCGATTTTGCTGTTAACTGCATAACTTGCATAGGACCTCTTGGGTCTCTGATAAGTTTTGTAAGACAAGGGGTACTAAAAAGCAAGGAGCACGCATTTTTTTCTGGCAGAAGCATGATTCACTGAAACACCCATTTACAATTTCCCACGCAGATGATCACTCAGTTTTCAATGAGAAGCACTTTAATCATTTTTACACAGAGAAATGACTTCACCAACGGAAGAATTTAAAGGAAGAACCCATATTACCAAATCCTTCACTTTGATTAAACATCATCTTCACTGTATGACAAGCAGAGCCGTCTCCCAGGCAAACTCCACACTGGTCTTCTGTTGCATTGGAATTTATCTCATAATCACAGCCAACAGCCTAGAAGGAAAAACAGTGTCAGAATAAATGCAGCCTCCACAATGAATTACTGAGAGCTCATCACTGCACTTCTGAGAAGGGGAATAGTATATATACTGTATAGTGTATTAGACCAAGGCGAAAAAAGCCCCTAACAAATAACCATCACCATGTCACAAAACATACAGTAGTGACCAGTTACTTGAGACAGAAATGTGCCACCCAAATGGCCTCATTATCTGGGACTGGTCACTGCATCTAGGATTTGTGTCTCCTTTCTTACATCACAGAGCCATCCACAGGTTCCTGGCAATACAATGCAGTAACAAAGCCAAAATATCTGCCAGCTTTTTGTGGCCATCTCATAGCACAGAACCTCTACTACAGCCAGTCCCCCTGGCAAAGAGAAAGCCTCCAGCAGGCATGAAGTTACACATCAAAGACTCTCCAGCTTGCCAGCATATGGGCATGGATGAAGATAAAGTGGATCAAGCAGGTCAGGTTCTAGTTCCAGTGATTTTCCAGTTTATGCTTGATCCAGGGAGAAAGACGGAGAAAAATTTATTCATCCTGAGTCAGGAAAAAACTTTTTCCTTGCTCAACCCAAAAATTTTGTACTCTTATGTCTTTAAATTTCAACAGAATTTTCATTTGGTTTCAGGATTTTTTTTCTGCTTCTCTTCAAAAACAAGCAGGATTGCAGAACACAATGTAATGTCCAACACTTAGTGGTTGTTATTAGTCTCTAAGATACCTGGAGGCCTGGGATATGGATGAATGGCCATAAGTCTGGTAGCAAAGGTTTTGTCTTGGTCTGAGATAGGGATACAGTATCATAAAGTCACCCCAAGACAGGTCTTCTCAGTTGATTTTTCTCAAAATAAGCTTTCAGGTGCTAAACCTGCCAACTTGTCTAACATCCTCTTTTGATGTTGATCTTATTTTACCTGCAGTATATCAGCTACTGCAATTTTCTGCAAGCATCTGACAAAAATCCATCTATTAGATTAACCTAGGTATACAAGCTCCTGCATTCTCTAGTATTTTTCTATCATTTTCACCTTAAGAAACACCTGAACATTTGTCTCAGTGCCAATGATTTAATGAACTATTAGAGAAACTGAAAAACAGAAGCAAGGAAAGGCCTCAAGCTACAGATGGTACCAAACTGCATCACTTTAAAGAAGATTCAAAAAAAAGATGCATCCATCACTTACTGCCAATTAATATCCAGCACCTTTCACACCAGCTCTGAAAATCACAGCCATGCCAAAAGTTTCTGCAGCAGCTTTAGCTTCTCCCTCCTTTCAGTGAAGGCCACTTTAAAAAAATGAGTGGTTTTGTAATGTCTTGCACATAGACAGATCCTGGCACCAAGGACCACACTTAGGATCAGTACAGAATATTACAGAGACAAGGAAATGTCAGCAAGGTGACTAACTTTTTGCCTCCAAGTATGTAGTTATTTGACCAAGGATGGATTCAGTCAACTATTCAGAACACACAGACGCCCCTACTACACAAACAGGATGTTTCTTTATCTTTCCAGGAGGTCAGATCTGTCTCTTCATCAGTTTAACACTTCCTAATAATTTAGAGAGGCTGTAGTGTTGCTGTTTTCTCAGAGTCATGCATTCCACAGTACATCTGCTGCACTATTGGTACATCTGTTAATCATCTGCAAACAGTGAAGTCATAGTTACCTGGTTTATTACTAGACCAGGGAAATAAAAGACACTCTGGAGAGTCATGGAAGTTGAAGTTTATGTTCTATACTATGCACATATATCCCTGAACGGAAAGGTGGGGAAAGTCTGAAGATGGTGCTTTGTGCTTTGCTATTAGAAAATATGATTAATCACTGCTGGGAGCTCCTCTTTTGAATTTGTCTTCAAATTGTGTAATTTTTACCAAATTATCATTTTCTAGTAGAAAATTCATGTCTTGGAAAAGGTTTCTGTCCATCTTTATTTACTACGCATTCTTGTTTGAGAGGCTGCACACAGAATTAATTTATCTAGTTCACACTATCAATCAGATTTCAGTTTGAAATTAACATCACTGAGCATGTTTCCCTTCCAAGTACTGCGCAATGCAAAAATCCCCAAAGGTTTAACTAATTAGTTCTGATTAGAACTGCAACTGAGATGGCAGCACCAGAGCATCATCACTACCCTGCCCTTGGGGTGCCAGTCAGTGCTTCTGCATGGGCTGTACTCCATCAGCTCAGATCTTTCCCACTTGACCACTTCCTTTAGCAACAGGTCTATGGCATCAAAATATGGCATCACTGTGATATGAAGAGAATCCCTTTGTCCCTTACAATATGAACAGCAGAAATTTGTATTTCAGTGTTCTTCTGATATTTGAAACAGTTAGTATCTGATAAGACACGAGCCCTACCTATACATGCAACATTCCTATACATTCCTGGGGTTTTGGAAAACTCCAAAATGAGGCAGGGCAGACAATTTACTCTGCTACAGTAAATAAAGCCTTTGTTTCATTCCCCATCCCTGGGGTGCTGCCATGACCTTCACATCTAACAGCAGGGCCTCACCCTACAAAGCCATTAAAAACCATCACAAAGCAATATTCTCATGTGTCAGAATAAACAGCATTCATTTACTCTAGCTACATTTCCATGAACTTTAATTTCCAGACCATGTTTTCCTTCATCACTTCAGTGAATATGACATTATTTTTGCCTTCTATTAGAATAATTTCAAGACGCTTCATTCTTCTTTTTACTTGCTTTCCTCATTATTCTTATTCTCGTGGATGCACTTGCTGTATTTTCAAAACACGCCTCAAACTTTCCAGAAGGTCAATATGACCCATTAGTGTGCACTTGCAGTTCAGAACTAGATGATATTTAAGGTCCATTCCAATCTGAACCATTCTATGACTCTATGATGAATTTCTGACAAACAGTTGCAAAAGCAATTCTGGAGACTAATGCAGGTTATATTACAGAAAAGAATATCAGCAGCAATTAGGCGCTGATTTTTTTACACACATATGTCCTTGTGCACCCTCTGCACATAAAGCATGCTGTGTTACAGGAAGCACTGTGTGCCATGGCATGGGCAACATAACTTAGCATCCCTCCCTGCAGTCCTTTGCTATTGTCCCAGACCCCAAGAGCCTTTTTAAAGCATCTGAGATCAGCTTTGTTTCTGGCCACAGCACACACTGCACAGGCAGATGTAATGACCTGAACTGCCCAGCTGAATTACAGGAAGGAGAAACAATTTATTTCCTGCTGTTCAACGACTAAAGGGAAAACAGCCAGAGATACTGCCCTTTTTCCATTTCCAGGAGGAGACGCTTTTGTGTCAGATTGGCAGTGGGGGGCAGATTCAAAAAGTCCTTGCTGACACTGAAAGGTATGGCCTGGATGTACTGCCTGAATATCCATTATGTGAATGCTATACTGAACTTTAAGGTCTTCCTTCCTTTTGTCTCCCTCACTAAGTCTTCAAATAAAGAAATCATGTTTACTTCATGTTGGCCATGACATTGCCTTGAATGGAGAGAAATGGGCCCTGATGTCAATAATTTATCTTGTAATTTGTCTGTATGGGTCTGAATCAAATGTCCTTTTGGACTAGCAGTGGCAGGAGGAAGCTGAACCATAGTGAGAAGCAGTAAAGCTACTGCATAAAAATTCAAGCTACGTAATCTGCTTTTCAGTAAGAGAAAAACATGGTTCTTTCCCCAGTACTACACAGCTGTGTAATTCTCCAGTACCATTTCAGTCTCTCAAAATCAATACTGAGAATTACCACAGAGAGCAGGCCACAGATTCCCATGATTGAAGGTCACTTAGCCTATAAAAATTCTGCAGAGGAGATGAAAGGTTGCAAGAAACATTGGAGATGCCAGATCCTCCACCCACAGTAGCTATACACTCCAGAGCAAAGAACACGTAAGCCTTCACTTTTAGATTATGTGATGGCTTGTGCTCATTCAAAAATCCCCTTTATGTATGTATCAGTGCTAAACAGCAATGCTCTGGGGGCAGCATCTTCACTCATTAACACTGGGGGAACAACTGACTCACCAAGTAAGAATTTCGAGTACAATTGTGGTGTACAATTTAAGCACAGGAATATAGGCTATGTGCTTTAAAGATCTTCTAAATAAAAGGGGGGAAATGACAATTGAAAAATGAGTGCTAAAGAATACAGTTAAAAAACAAACTAGTCATCATATAGCTTGATGATTTGAAATTAGGTTATTGACAGATCTTGTCAGAACTCCTGACAGAACTCTTCTGTGTAAAGTCAGTTGAGAAAGGACCCAGCTATTTTATAGGCCAGGCCTCCAATTAATTAAGGATTTTAGCTTGTCTTTGAATTGAGAAGTTCTAAAGGAATACCATGCTAACAACACCTCACTGTAAGCCTTCCTTCAGCACTGATGCGTGGGTAAAAAGATTAGGAGATATTGGATAAATTAAAAGGACAAAGTGAATCAGTGGTCTGTCTGTATTTACTTCTCACTTGAAGATGCACATTGTGGCTTTGTCATCAGCTAGGAAAGCATCCAGTATACCTCAGGTAGCTAAAATGAAGTATCTCAATCCACATTTATCAAAATAGGACCAGTTTCTCTGATCGCTCTAAACAAATTTATGACAAAATGCAAAATCATACTGAAATTAATTTCTGAGATTAATTTCGAAGATGAAATTCTTTATTGGATCTATCTGAATTTTTTTACATACCCAGTAGGAAAACCATGAACTCACTTGATAAAAAATAGCTTGAACTGTTCAAAGCCATCATAATTCAAAGGCCCATCCTGGGTCTCAGCAAAGTTAAGCAGGATCTCTTCACTGTGAATGTGAGCAGGGTCTTGATAACTCCCTTTCATAAACGCAAGTTTTGCAAAGAAAGCTTAAAACGTATCTTTTATTACTGCTCTCTGAGGCACTGTCATTCTAATAAATAAGTTTAAAAAGAGGGTGTACCAATCATCTGTTAAAAACGTGAAATTTCCATCACCAGAAGTCTTTAAGAAAAGAACGTGAAAAAAAGGAATATAGTTTGCAAAGGGATGGAACAGACAACTAAGTCCCTTCTAGTTGCATTTTTATACATTTAAGTGGCTTGGGGCATACAACTCACATACTGGGTAAGCTAATGTAGTTTCCACAAGTCCTGCTTTTGTTTCCAAAGATGCTAAGAGCAAGAAAGCTATCAGGCTTCAAGGGGGTACAGGACACAAACTCTCAATTTGAAGAAATAAACCACAGATGTAAATATGTCCTCTACAAGGAAGGTACTAAAATTATTTCTAATGAATTGACTAAAAGTAATGCTGAGACCATGGAGGTTATAGAATTCAGAGAACACTCCTTTAAATGCCATACAGACACACACATCATCCGGAAATCTGCTACCAACACATACAATATGCAGAGACCATTTTACTTATTCTTCACTACATTATATTATTGAGCCATATATACTCCGTGTTTGTCCAGTACCTCATGGTACAACATTGTTCAATTCAACATAATAGACGATATTAATTTTTACTGCCCTCAGCTGCAAAGTCTGATCTTATTAAAAGACAGCTCAGAACAGCTACACGTGTATGGTTAAACTGAATTTTCATTAAAAACCCCACAGATATGCGATACCAATCACAATCCTAAAGCTACAATCCTTTGTGAAAACTTCTCATCAGAAACAGATTTTCTTGAACTGATGTTTTAAAATAATGGGAAAAACCCAGAGGATTTGAAAAGCATTAAAAGTAATCAGCAGTCAGTCTAATAGACTCATTAAAAAGAATGGAAATTAAGTGTATGTCTATTTGGAAAGCTTTTGCTGTAAACTTGCTATAAAAACGTGATAAAATACAGTACTTGGCCTTGATCCCACAAAAAAAATGGTTAAGCATTTCCCCGTAACTTTTAAAATTTAAATTTTAGAGAAAGAAACATGCAAACATACCCAATACCTTACACATGCCATTAATACAGATATCTCGGCTGTGCCTTCCTTCAAAGCAAGGAGTACCATCAGTGACTGCATCCAGCATCTTCTCTGAGAAATGGCCATCTACTGGGCGACAGTGGAGCTCACAGGGGTTTGCTGAGGGGAAAACGAGAACACTCACTCAGACAATACGTCAGTAGGACACTGATGTGCAATACACAGGGTCTTTGCTGAACCATTCACTCCCTTCCCCTGCCATCTGCCAGAACTGGCAGAATTAGAAGAATCGAGCAGAGCCAGGGTGGCACAGACCTGATAAATGGCACCGTGGGTTTGTGGGAGGCAGCTGGGGGCTGGTCCCCTCCCACAGCAGCCACTCACCCTGCTGAGTGAGGCTGTAAGGAGGCATCAGTGATGGAGAAAGGGATGAGAAACCAGCAAATCCAGCTCTCATTAGTGAAGGGGTGGGATTGCCAAGGACACTGACAAAAAAGTTTTCCATCAGCTGGTGAGTGAGTAATTTCAGAGGTAATTTAAACTTTTCATCACTGCTGTCAGCCTCTCTCAGAGAGCAGTCAGCTGCTTGCTTCTGATCTTCTGTGTTCATCATTTTCATCTACCTGTTGGCACTTAATAAATAATTTCAAACATTCTTTTTTTCCCTGCTTGACAACTTATTAAATAGGGATAATATTGCAAGTCTGACAGACTCAGGCGATTTTCAGATAGATGTCCCACAGAAGCAACAGGGAAGACAAAAGCTGCAGCAAGAGCAACCAGTAGCCTCGAAAACAAGATTTTCTGTGATGGATCAGGGCCTTAATCTATTCCATCTATTTAATAGGAAGACCCAAACACCAATCTCCCTGTGTCACAGACACCGGCCTTTGGGAATGGGAAATTCTGACGCTGAGACAAAGGACACAAGTCTGATAAATAAACTGTGTGCATGGAAGATGAGTTAGTGCTGAAATTAGGGTCAAAGCAAAGACAGACATAATCTCTGTCTTTGTAACACTCTCTGAAAACTCTCCAGTGGAACCAGAACTACCCTGAACTACCTGAATGAATTAAAAATCGTCCACTATCATATTAATGAAGGGCATCAGCAGAAGACTTGTCTTCAGGTTTTGGTCTATTCAAAGACCCCAGTCTCACCCAGCTCTAAAGCAATTTCTTCATGCTCAGCAACCCAAAATGCTTAGCTGAGAAATGCAGTGGGCCTTAAACCCACCAGTTAGTAGCAACTTTAAGGCACCATTATTGAATAATTTAAAAACTATCTCCCTTTGTGCTGCAGAGGTGCTGATGCTGAGTGAGTTTTATCCTGTGCCTGACAGAGTTGACAGAAGCTGCTCCCTTGGTCTCTGACGGATACAGCCTTCCACATCCTGGTTGATTAATCCATTTTTATCTTTTCCTCCTTTGTTGGCTTTGTTTGTGTCATAGAAAGAACTGTACTTAAAGAAATGTTTGGTAATGAGAGAAATGCAAACTTCTGATAATGCATATAAACTAATTAATTTCCAACAAAAGGATTTATCCTTTTGAAGGGGGAAAATTTGCTCTCATTACTCTGGTTTGTACAGCACCAACATACACACAACATCACACAGTGCACAAAGGTGACTACAGCTCCTCCCCTCAAAGCTCTTACAGCTTAAGAACTGAATCCTCCACAGTCTGAGCTTTGGTACTGTGAATATTATTCGTGTAAACGAAATACTGCAGAACTGGGAACAAAAACAAATTTTAAAAAGAATAAATAAAGGAAATTCAAAACCTTAATGAAGGCTATTTTCCCCCTCTTGTCAGTAGAGCTAAAATGCTATCTTAGGTCTGTCACTAATGTTGTGCTTCTAGCTCCTCAAAAATACCTTTGTAAAGTGCAACAGTGATGGACCATGGTTATACAACTGGTGGAATTACAGCTGATGTGAACTGTGTTTGAGAATACCAGTGGAGATGGAGCCAAAAAAGTTTGTTCAGGCAAGAACATAAAGTTTGTAATCCTCACCAACCTTCAGCCCCTCTGTGAAAGCTGCCAGCCATAACACCCATCAGTTGTTTTGATAAGAGCTGTCATGCTAAGTGATGCAAGTGATTTTACTTCTGTCTGCAGAATTCTTTTTCTGTCCGTGTGATTAAATTGATTACTTTAGTGCTCTACATTTCGCTTCACCTTGCCTACTTTCTCAATATACCATTTTTTTATACAAAGAACAATACATTTGTGGCAAGGAGAATCCTACAGTTCCAGGTACTCTGTTACCTGCTCAGAATTGCCCTGATAGACACAGGTTTTACAGAAAGCCATTTCAACTTCTGCATTGTTTCTAATGAAATATGTAGAACAGAATTTTGATATCTGTACCTCTTCTTAGTTGTGTGTTGACAAAACAAGCAATTTCATTTCAGAAATTACCGAACAAGAAGCAGCAGACATTGCTGACATACTCCTGGCATAACTATGATGCTGTAAATCTGTAATTCAGAAAAAGTTAATAAAGAAAAATAAATCCCTTACTAAGTAAAAATTAAAAGTTAAAAAAACCCCACAAAACAAACTACAAACTTTCACACTTGCAAATGCTTTCTATTTATGAAAGCTTTTCTGATTTTCCTGATTGTTTTAACTGAATTTAACTAAAATTGGACCCCACCGACAAATTTTTACTGGTTTTTTTTTCTGTATGTTTTCTACGGAGCCCCTCTGGAAATTATAGAGTATTTATTTCTCCACCCAAAATTCAGTTCTATCTGATATTTATTTGATTTTTCATCTGCAGAAAGGCTGGTTAGGTCACCACTGAGGAAATTATACTAGCGCTGTATTTGGCATTCACTATCTAAAATTATTTATTTATCTATCTATCATTATTATTTATTATGGTTGAGCTCAGAGACCTTGGCTCTCTTTTTCTAGGACTGTAAATAAACAGCATCAGAATCAGCCAATGACCTCCAAAAGTCTAATATTTTAAACACAGAACAGATACCAAACTCACACACAAGGAAAACAAATATGTTTCCTGAAATGAAGGAAGATGTGCACTGAGTTCAGCCTTTTTTCTTATTTCAGACCCAAAAATCTAAAAAGACAACTCAGATGAATAGGAGCCCTTGGGTTGTTCAGAAGGAGCTCATTAAAGCAGCTGGTTCAGTTTCAGTTACTTCAGCAAATTTGATTAAATCGTTATGAGATTTTAACAAAAAGGCTGTCATCTTTGTAACTTTTAGGCCAAAACACACATCAATTCTGGCATATGCATGAAATACTAGATCCACTGTGAGCACTGGGTAATGACCATGTATCTCCACCAGCTCAGGGGTACACATGCTAAACACTTAAATGTTCCACTGAGTACCTGGCATTTAATGCACTCGTTTTCCTTTCTATAGGAAAACTTGCTTTTCTCAATCTGTGTTTTTCAAATCACATAAACATAGAATGTTTTGGACTGGAAGAAATCTTAAGGATCATCCAACCCCCCTGCCATGAGCAGCAATGTCTTCCATTAGACCACAGTGCCCAAAGCCCTGTCCAACCTGGTTTTAAAAATTTCCTGGAATGAGGCACCCACAGCTTCGTGGGCAATTGTGCCAGTGCCTCATCACCTGCACAGTAAACATTTTCTTCTTTATATCTAATTTAAACCTGCCCTCTGTCAGTTTAAAGCCATTCCCTATGTCCTACCTCTACTAGCTCTTGCAAAAAGTCCCTCTCAGTGACTTTCTGACTTCCATGTTGCTCTCCTGTTAACCTCCTTCAGTCTGGCTGCATCCTTCTGCCAGTGTCTTTCTCCCAGCTGGACATAAGATTTTAGCTGAAGTGCCACCAACACTCAGTAGCCCAGAAAAATTACAACCCTTTTTTTTACATGGTCTCCACATCTTATACCTGCTGCTGATTTGACCAGAGACATGATCAATCTCCTAATATACAGAAGAAACACAGATGTAATGGAATCCCAAGCCACAGAGCTGCCTTAAAGGCCCAGTTACTTATCTGTAATCAGAATGGTACTGAAGAAGCAAATCAGCAAAGCTGAGTAAAAATCCTGAAATTTGGGCACGTGATATTTTTCCCCTCTGTATATTATTAAAAAGTTCAGATTCACCAAGTGTAAACAGAAAAACATGAAGATAAGTAGCAAGGAATATATTTCCTTACCAATTTAAATTTGTTTACCTCACAGCTGATTCCCATGAGTTCACATGCAGGGGGGATCAGCTTAACCTGACTAAGAAGGACACGATTAATGTGTCTGTCAGAAGAAGATAAGGCTTCAATATCTTTCCCAACTTCACAAGGAAGAAAAGAGGTGGGGCCTCTTCTCTTCAACCCCTCATCTCTGTGAGAACTCAGAATTGGCTGAGGAAATCCCAAACAAAGAAAATTAGAAAAGACAATTACCAAACAAACAAAATGGGAAAAAAAGCTGAGGTGAAGCTACTTATCACTTTAACCAAGCCTGGAGCTCCAAAATGAAGTTTAATTTTAAAACAGAGGCAGCAGAAACATTATTTCATCCTGTTAGCTCAGCCTCTGTGACTGTATCAGAACGTATCTTATTTGATACATAGAAATATTTCAGAAGAAATATGTAATTTAAAACACAACCCCTATCTGACTGTACACTATATGATACTGGCACTGATACAGAAAATAAAGGTAATTATATGATTTAATGTAGGACTTATAGATAGAAGTTAAGCCCTGAGAAGCTATCAGACTCATACAAATGGAATTTGTCAAATGGTATGAAATAAATAAACATGGGGTCAATCTGATAGAAAGAGAAGTGGATATGTACTGAAGTCTGACCAAAGTGTCAAAATAGGGGCCTGGGTCATGAGAAAAATTCAGAAAATATCCTGCTCAGGCTTCTGGATAGTTTATCACCCATGAACTTGGAGGTCTCCATCATTTTAAGATTCCCAGGGGTACTCTGATGCTCCAGCTTAAGCACATGGGTTTCTGAGGTCCAGAGCATTTCTGTAACAAGCTCTCCACCAGGCATAAAGTCATTCGAACCAGAAAATTCTCAATTGAAACCTCAACCACAGGTAGGCTAGGAAACAGCAAGATGTGATTTACTGCTTTTCTGTGAGATTGCTTGTTAAAGCTGGTACTTTTATTAAATCATAAGCTATTCAAAAATGTCTTTGTTCTCTTGTGAAGTTATAATTTACACAGCAGAAAAGACTCTTTAGTTATTTGACATTTGCTATAACTGCTTTACACAAGCTATGAAATTAGAGCCAGGAGAGGGAAATTGACCATCCAGATAATCTACTGTTTTTTCCAGTGGGATGAAGGAACAGAGAATGTCTAAAATGTCACAGAATGTCTGGTTCAGGAATCCATGTCCTCAGCTAGACACTTCCACATAAAAACTGTATGTGCACTCAGGACTTGGGAAAGCTTCAATTACGTTTTCTTTCCTCTTTACATCCCAAGTGCTGCATGAGAGGATCCAAAATGCCTGATACTGAAGAGCTGTATTGGGTTTGCAAGGCCAGGCTTTGGTAGCAGGGGGGCTACAGGGGTAGCTCTGTGAGAAGCTGCCAGAAGCTTCCCCCATGACTGACAGAGCCCACACCAGACACATCCAAGAAGGAACTGCTGCCAGCAAAGACCAAACCACCAGTGACAGAGGCAGCACCTCTGGGATAATGTATTTAAGAAATGGAAAACAAACCTGCACAACTTCAGCTGGAAGAGAGGAGATGTGAGCAGATCAGCTCTGCAGACGCCAGGTCGGTGAAGGAGGAGGGGCAGGAGCTGCTCCAGCTGCCAGAGCAGAGATTCCCCTGCAGCCCCTGGTGCAGCCCATGGGGAGGCAGCTGTGCCCCCACAGCCCAGGGAGGTCTGGGGGGAGCAGAGATCCACCTGCAGCCCTGGAGGAGCCCACACCAGAGCAGGTGGGTGCCTGAAGGAGGCTGTGAGCCCACGGGAAGCCCGTGCTAGTCAGGCAGGACCCATGGACCAGGGATTCATGCTGGAGCAGCCTATTCCGGAAGGACTGCAGCCTGTGGAATGAATCCATGATCAGGAAGAACTGCAAGGAAGGACTTATGTTGGAGAGGTTCAAGGAATACTGTCTCCCACGACTGCTCTACTCTGATTTAATTTCTAATAAATTAAACACATTTCCCTCACTCCACTCTGTCATGTCCATGATGATAATCCGCAAGTGATTTCTCCCTGCTCTTATCTTGACTCACAAGCCTAGGGTTACATTCTCCCCTGTCCAGCTGAGGAAGGGAGCAACAGCATGGCTTTGTTGGAAGCCTGGTGTCCAGGCAGGATTAACCCACTGCAAATGCCAAAGCCTTCTTGGCAGCAAGACAACATAGTAACAGAATGCTGTGAAAAATCCTTGAAATTGGGTTGCACAAGTTAAGAGAGTAAGGGAACTGACAAAGGCTGCTGTACATATGGGGCACATTGTGAGTAAGTCTCCAGAGACCTGAAACATCAGCTCATTTTTGTGGGGGGCTAACAAAAGGCTGTTGGTTTGTTTTTGTTTAAAGTCTTGGTTTGTTTGGACACACACATGCAAGGAAGGCTCAAACTGTGTCTCTCAGAGACAGCACTGTTTCATGACCTGATTTGCAGTTATTTTGCCCAGGACATCATTAGCCACTGATAGAAGGTGAAAGAATATTTGAAACTGAGATGGGTGGAAAACTCTCAGATGTATTTCAGGTAATGCTAGCTGGACAAAACTGGAAGCAGTGTGCCCATGACAGCCACCCACCCTCTTACAATGATGTCAGATGAAGAATCAGGACAGTATTTGGCCAGCTCCCTGCTTATTTGAGTGTTACCAGGAGAGCCTGTCTACCTGAGGAAGCCAGTTTTACTTTAAGTTAAGAGTTTTGCAGCAAGAAAACACTTTTAATGTTGTAGTGGAATGTAAGAATCAAAGTGAAAACATTAAGGGCCTCCAAGGTCATGGGGAAGACATGGAAATCTCTGCTGAAATTCTGGCTGCTGAGAAAATGAGTGAGAACAGACAAAAAGTTTTCAAGCCACAGAAAAAATATGTCCTTGGTATTTGAAGGATTTTGCAAATTATTTTCCAGATGAAAATATACCAGGCTCAGCAGCACAGTGTTTTAAATAGAACTGGTTTGTCTGTACAGTTCTGACCAGTTCTATTTGAAATATGGCATGGACAGAACACAGCCCTGCCTTCCAGAGTGCAATAAGCGTGACTCATGATTCTCAATGCCCTTTTAAAACAGACCTTCTGTAACAATGTACATGCAGAACCACCTGTTCTGTTGCAGGGTCACAGAGAGAACATGGACAGAACAAACGCTGTACCCTGCAGTGGTACACCCTGAGTAACAGAGGTCTGGAATCTTCATTTCAATGAAAGGTGACTGCAGAAAATGTTTCATGAGTTTGGTTTTGGCCTAATCGTTAAGCTGTAAGCATTTGTCATGGCTTTACTGGGATTTCTTCCAAAAATCTCTATCAACCACATTTTCTTTCATCAGAAATTTTACTGGAAGTCTGTCTGCTCTAGGTTCATCTTCAATGGTGTATTTGTTAGATGAAATGGAAACAGTAGTTGAAATTTAGGAAACCAATTTAGAACTGTCTATAACTGAAAAAGCAATTAACATGCTGAAAAATACTACTGGCGAATGAAACTGGAAGTTTAGTCCTATCTTCCCTATCCTGTCTTATTTTTTCATTAAAAAACACATTGCTAGCAAATCTGTTGCTGCTATGGAACTGTGGGGAGTGGCTGATCCACCTGAAGGTTGTGCTGCCATTCAATGGGACCTTGATAGGGGGGACAGTTGGGCAGAGAGAAACTTTGTGGGGTTCAAAAAGGGCAAGTGTAGGGCTCTGTACCTGGGGAGGAATTACCCCAAGCACAGACTGGGGTCTGACCTGCTGGAGAGCAGCTCCACTGAGAAGGACCTGGGAGTTTTGGTGGGTGACAGGTTGTCCATGACAGCCAGGAGGGCCAGTGGGCTCCTGGGGTGCTTCCTGGGCAAGAGTTTGGCAGTTTTGAGTTCCTCAGTACAGGAAAAGCAAGGAGTTACTGGAGAGGGTCCAGCAGAGGCCACAAAGATGATTAAAGGACTAGAGCATCTCTGTTGTGAGGACAGACTGTAGGGGCTGGGCCTAGTCAGTCTAGAGAAGACCAGACTGAGAATGGGTCTCACCATTGCATATATATATATATATATATATCTCAAAGTCAGTGCAAGGGGATGGTGCCAGACTCCTTTCTGTGGTGCCCAGTGACAGGACAAGGAGCAACAGCCATAAACTAAAGCACAGGAAATGCTACCTCAACAACATGGAAGAACTTTTTTACATAGAGGGTGGGAGAGCACTGGCACAACTGCCCAAGAAGTTGGTTGAATTTCCCTCTCTGGAGACATTCAAACCCACCTGGACGTATTCCTGTGTCACCTGCTCAAGGTGACTCTGCCTTGGCCAGGGGGGTTGGACTGGATGATCTCCAGAGATTCTTTCCAACCCTAACGTTTTTGTGATTCTACTGGATAATCTACGCCTTATCTTTATGTACAACCCAAGAATCCAACTGCATACGAGTAATGATTGTCTTTGTATTTAATAACTAGCTGTTCCAAAGGAAGTTATAAAGCAGAGTCATTGACTCTGCCTCTACAATATAGGGCAGCATGATACTGAACCAGTTCAGATATTACTTCTTCACTGTAATGCAAGTACACCTACCACGCAGACCTGGGTTTGGAAGTAGTAAAGTCACATTTGTGCAGTGGAAGAGCTCTGCTTACTGTCTGCAGTGACGCCTGTAGGCCCAAAGATGCAGCTCTACACTACTCTGCTTCTTGTTCTGTGGTTGACATTGGAGGAGATGGTTTAGATCTATTCTAAACTAATACAGACATGACTTCAACAGCTTTTCTTAGTGCAGTATCTTTTCAGGAACTGAACTAGTTACAATCACAGCCATTATCACCAGAGCTCTGAAAAAACATCGATGTGTAGAGAAGAACCACTGCCTTTTTGTTCACACACCAGAATATGGGAGCACACACAGAATATTGGAGATTTTTCTCTCTCATTCATTAGAAAACTTATAATTCAGTGACTTCTCGCCCCCATAGAGGTTTCTCATAGGCATGTAACTCTGACTTTTTATACAAAATGTTAAAAAAATTTGTAGCTTCATACCTGTGTTATAAACAGGAACCCAGTGGTAGAATTCATTCTGGTAGGGAACTGTATCAAATTCACTGCACTGCATCTGACGGAAGGTGGGCAAGTCTTTGTGACAGGGGCTGATGTTACATATGCGATAGCGTTTCCTTTCTCCAGTGCAGTAGTCTCCTCCAAACTGGGGTCTAGAAAAGGAACATTAAGACTGGGACATGAGACCGTGGGTAAAAAACATAGTTTTAAATGAACAATGTATTTCAGGTCCCAGCAGCATAACAAGGTGACTGAATCCTTGACAGGGTAGAGATACTGTCCATATCACATGTTTGAGTACTCGAAAATGTCAGGATGAAGCACAGAAATCTACTTACTCTGATCTCCCAAAAAAGTGCTTGGCACTACCTGGCTGAGCTCACAAAAAATAAACCTATCAAATGGACTGCTTTAAATCCCATACTTTGCAATGCATTTGACAGTTTTCTCTGAAAAGACAAATGTTTCCTGCCATTAGTGATTTGTGAAAATGAGATGTGGAGTCTTCATGAACTCAGATATGTAGTAGGGAATTCTGCCTTTCATACTCTGTACCTGACAACTCATGTCTGAAACTTAATACTGATGAACTAGAACAAAACGTGAAAGGTGAGTCCTCAGGATCAGACTGCTAGAAACTGTTCTCACCTGAGTTTGAGGACATTTATTTACTCATTGTAGTATTAATAACGCAACTTTTACATTATTTCTGCAAAGACAAAATGTTAAGTATGTTTTCAAAATTAATTTTGTTTTGAAATAAGCTCCGTGGAGGGTAAAAAATAAAGAACAAGAGAACTACTGCAAAACATGTTAATTTCACACAGGTATGCCTAACTGGGAAGAGAGGTGTGTCACATCTGTGACATGTGTTGATGTGGCACCTGCTGACAACAGTCTCATAAAAGAGAGTTTCCAATGTCCTTAAGAGCCTCAAAAATCTTAAACAAAAGGTAGGGAGAGATAGTGCACTCAGCTTACTCTGGATTATCACATGGCCTCTCTGCGCTTTGAACTCCTGCCCCACATGTCCTTGTGCAATGGGACCAGGATGACCAAACACCCCACTCGCCATGGACTGCTTCAGGAGTCTTCCCTACTGTAATGCACTCACCAGAGAAGCACCACTGAGGAGAGAAGAGAAAGCACAAAGAGCTTCAGATCATTATCACAGGGAAACCTTTCTGTGAATTATTTGCTATTTCAGCTCATGCGGGTTGAACACTTAAGTGGAAATGTAAATGGAGATGTCACAGGATGACCCTCCTTCACACTCAACAACGACAGAGCTGCTCATGGCTCCCCACTAGCCTTTGGCAGGCAGCAGAGCTTGCAAACAGCGTGGCTCACAGTCACCTTGTTTTCTCCACACCTAGTGCCGTCTGCAGCTGCATCCAGCTTGGAGCGGCAGGAGCCTTTCACCGAGCACCAGAGCGTCTGGCAAAGGTTCTGAAAAAGAAAGAGAGCTGCAGCAGTCTGAGGCAGGGCTGAACTCCTGTGGCCAAGATTTTCAAAAGCCTCCCACAGTTTTGTACAGCCACTTAAAAGGCCTTGTAAGGGTTGTATTTCCAGAAGGATCAGGGTTTTTCACAAGACAGGAACCATCAAGGGTCCAGATTTAGGTACTCGTCATTGCTGTGTAAAAAGCGACTATCTGAAAAACAAAGAAAGGTAAATACTATCAAGTGAATTCCCTGTACTATGTGACTTCAAACATTCTCCTCACTGGCTTCTCAGCTCCTAGATAAACACAAGAAAAAATGGCTTAACAAACTTTGGTCACTACTGTTCGCAGATAAGGTGAACAGAAAATTGAACTAACCAATGCAATCTTCAATTTTGCACTGCTGTCTGCTGAAAACATATAGTGAAATCGAAGAAGATTACACAGAAGCTAGGGAGGCAAATACAAACAACATCATGTGTCCAACAATATTAATGGAGGTCCCAAAACTAGAGGTGGAAAAAGTGATCAGGCCTCTTAAAACATCAGCTTGGCAGATGGCAAGGAAATGATCTGAAAAAAAAAGCAGTCAGCTAGTTGACAGGAAGAGTAAAAAAGCATAGTGGGCTGGAAAGAGTAAAGGCTCTGGTTAGTTAATGCTTTTATATTAAGCAACTCAGAAACTGGTGCTGCCAGTTTAATGTAGTAGGTTGCCAATAAATCACAGCATTCCAGTGCTGCTCCATGTGCAGTGGCTCAACTCCACAGAAGAGAATGAAACTCCTGAGAGGCAACAAACAAAGCAGGGCAAGAAACATTCTAGCTACCTTTTACCAAACCCACTTTACTCAGTCAGAACTATTCTCTAGAAAGGGAGGACAGAGTTGGAGGGCCATTTCTCCCTCTTCAGGTCACACGCACACCAGCTTTTCTTTGTTTGGCACACTGAAGCTCTGCATGCTTGGGAACTCCTGACTGATCAGGGCTTTGCATGGAACACCACTTGTGAGGTGGAGAAAGCAGGGCTCTCAGAGGGACTGCACACTGCCACTGGGAACAGCAGGAGCAAAAGCCTAGGTCTTGACTCAGGCTGTTTGGATGCCACAGTCCAGTTCTGGAAAAGGGAACAGGTCTAGCAGCATCAACCTGTGAATAAGGGATGGCTCCAAGTGTCATCAGAGAAAAGAGTTGATAAGAAGGATCTCGCTAGCAGCTCCCACTGGGATTCTGAGAGCAAGCCACATGCCAGATTTGAAAGCCAACATATAAACTGTGCACTTCCAAAAATACAGCCCCAGTGAGCTAGCAGTGTTCATCCAAGTGGGAAATGCAGCTTGGCTGCTCATTTCTGACCTGCTTCTGTTTAAAATGGCTAAGCCTGGGCACAAGCTTAGAGAGAGTTCACTTTTATTTACTTTCGCCATTGTGTGTTCACCTTGGTGTGTCAACAAGAGCAGCAGAAAAAAGCTGATGGCATGGAACATCTCAAAGCACTCCAGCTCCTCCAGGAATACAATGTCTGGGCCCCTGCATCTTGGTTCACTGTTTTTGGGCAATGTACACAAGACAAACTTTTTTGCAGTTCTCTGTTAATAGTTCAAGGGCAGCATTCCTTATGAAGGCCTTGTGATGCCATCATTGCCAGGCTCTTAAGGCAGAGCTGCTCAAGTGTTCTGGCTGATGAATTTTCTCTCGTTATGAAAGTCATCCTTTATTTTAACTCTTGCACAGAACATGTTTTGTGACTTTAGTGTCTAAAGTGTACTCTTGCACCATGCCTCAGATACCAGAGAAATTGGCACAGAAAATTAACACTTTTCAGCTTTTCAGTGGCAGTTACTATCTTTATTAGGTGCACCCATAGATTTCAAAGTCAAGAATTCACAGACAGAATTCTTTAGCTTTGCAATGATTTTTCCATATTGATCTCCATGTCTCAGAACTGTTTTCCACTTCTAAGAACACTAAAACAACAGCAGTACGAGAGGATGAACTATGTACTGCGTGCCTTTGGAGGCAACAGGCAGAAATTCATGACTGCCATGGACTCGCTGCAAAGCAAGTGGGTTTTCTTTCCATCAGCAGCATAATATACACTTTCCATCCAGTCTATGAGAATAGGGTCTGTGCCTTGAAGAAAGTTGAATTAAAAAAAAAATCAGTTTCACTGAAGCCAGTGGAAGCTCTGGAGAAAAAGGCAATGAGTGTTCTGATCTCCTATTCTGTAGAAATTCTGTACAGGCTATTCTGTAGGAAGCTATGGGTCTAGCTGTGACTTGGAAAATTCCTTCATTTGGTAGGTATTTTGCTTTTCTTTACCTTATTAGAGGGACAATATTTACATTACTTCACAGGACACTTTGCTGTCTAAGTGCTTCATGGAAACCACTATACGAATTATAAATATCAATTTTTGCTAAGGGTAATCACTGAACTCCAGGGCATTTTCAGCTAAATGCAATTTGTTCTCTCAAAAAGGATCTGTGGGTCAAATTCAGTCAGACATTAAAATGTACAAAACAAAAGCAGCTTGCCAGTGAGCAGGGTTAAGTAAATAGAGGAAAGGCAAAAAAGAGTCAGACCTCTTAGACAAATGACAAAAAGACTGATGATTCAACATTCCAGGTTGACTCTACTGCTCACAATTCCATTTCCTGCCAGTGCAACTACCAGCAAAATACAGGCCTTTCAGTAAAATGCAGAATTATACCAATTAATTTTCTGACATATGTCTAGCTGTAAAATTGGTTAATCAGGAGATGTGAATGTAAAGGCCTATTAGGTTCAAACTCAAGGAGAGACAGACTGAGCCAATACACAAAATTACATCCTAATTTTCTATCTGTACCAGATATTATTATACCAAGAGACAAATTACAGTAACTAAGGAAACTGTAACAGCAGGTAATGAAAGCAATCTTTCAATACCTTATTCAGATTCAGTAGTTGTAGTTCAACACTGGTAATCATGTTATCTATTAAGGCTGAAAAGATTAATCAGAAATAATTTCTCTAAGAGAAGGGTAGATGGAGATACACATAATTATCTGAATGGAATAGTCAACATCAGCAGTGCCCAGTCCACAGCTGTGTTCATACCAGTACTGCCAATAGCCCAAACACATCTGTCTTTGACAGGGCTAGTAGGCTGGGTGCAGTTTCCAGTATTTACTGAACATTGCTGCCCAAAACACAGGAAAATGAAAATTAGTGATCACTTAGCTAGGCTAGCACTTGGAAACACTGTTTCTGAGCTGCTCTATGTATAAAAAAAATACTGTACAGACCCAAAGAGCTCTGAACATTCTAGGTACCAGTAAAATACCATACCACTTGTACTTTAGCTAGCACAACCTGCCACTTTGCAGGGCTCCAAGATCTTGCAAGGGTTGCTGTGGCTACACTGCTCCCTTGCATCTCCTCACAATACTATTTTGCTATCCTGTGAGACAGACCTCAAGGTACTGTATAAATTATACACTTCTGCATAAATATCTAATGTTCCATGCAAAGATATTGTTTTTTCAAAATAAGTATTTTCCACAGGGACTGAAAAACTATTTTATTTATTAGATCATAAATAGTGTGAAAAATCAGGATGTATGGGAAGAGAACATAACCCTAATTTCTTCAGAAAACTCTTCCTGGAACTGAAGATTTGTTCCCAGAATGATTTGATCAATTGAAAACCACAAGGTTGAAGAATATTTTAAAATTAGATTTTAGTTGCATTCATAATTTACCTAAGAATTAGTATTACAAGTTCAAAAGCAAAATGTTTCCACTGCTGAAGGACAGGCACCTAACCATAGATATGGTTAAGATCCAGCAAAAATCTTGTGAAATACAAAGCAAGCAGCATAACAACTTGCTTCCAGAACATGCAGAATTAAGTGTGTTACCCAATGCCTGCACTGCACATCTAGCCTAAGAGACTCTAAACATACTGCATTTGTAAATGAGGTGCACTGAATGCTGCTCAAGATTTTTGAATTCTTACTAGGAGAATGAAGAAAAATATTCAGCACTTACATCCACATCTTCACAGAATGTAGCATTGGAACCATACTGAAGCTGGCACTGGTGGTGCACATCATAAATCACTCCAGGAGCAATGATTGGGGACTTCAGAACTTCTTTCTGGGGGATGTCATCCAGACAGAATCCCCATCCACGACTAAAAGACAAAAATTCCGTATTTAAAAACTCTCTACCACCACAGTCTTTTGATGCTTCTATGAAGACTTCTGGTATCTATTTCTTAGGGGTAATTTTGATTATGGCCTATGTAAATAATACTTCCAGATTCCAGATAAGTTATGCTGAAATGCTGCAAAGTAGTTACTCTGTGTAGCAAGACATGGTTTTAAAATGGCAAAATGGAAATACCGAAGTGGAAATATCATGAGCTCAGTATGGTTTGCAGAGAGCCCCAAAGTCTCTGGTTAAAGCAATACCACATTGCTGCTCTTAAAAAGAATGGAATAGATTTGAGCAAGTCACTGAAGCCAAACACACGGCACTGCGGAAAAAGGCAAAGTCATGAAGTTCTGTCAATGCCCTTGATGGAAAGGCTTCTTTCTTCCTGCTAACTGCAAAAAGCTGCAGATTGCACCAAATCCGAGCCAATATGACAAGATTTGAGTTAACTTCCAGACTACAAGATTATACAGAGCTTTTCCCAAATAAGTAAGCAACAGGACAGTGGTATGTCCCCCATGGAAATTAACTCAAGCACATTGAAATCCCCCTACAATTATCAGTACAATAATACAAGATGCACTTTAAACTCCAGCACAGTTGTGCTCAATTTAGGCAAATGCTACAACCTGATGACTCACTCTAGGAACCGTGTGATGTACTCCTTGCTGCACTGTGACCAGGTGAGTGGAGTAGGATCATACTGCAGCTGTCGGGACATAATATACGGGCGCTTCCCAGCAGGCTCACAGTCGTTCTCCTTTCCATCGTGCTGGATTCCAAAACTGGAGATAAAAAACATCTAATAATTCCAGCTGATTTGCTGTACCACAACACCTACCTACAGGCTCCCTTCTGTGCTTAAAAAGACACTTACACTGCTTCCTCTCCTGCAGACCTGTAGTTATCTGTTTGCTAAAAGAAAATGCACACACACAATATACAACCCAAAATCTACAAAAAATCTACACTCTCACAGGCTTTCAAACATGTATGTTATGCACAGCAATATTGTCCTGCACGAAATAAAGAACAGACTGTCACAGACTATACCTGTGTACTTTTAAGGGAGTCCAAACACTAGTGCACAGCTGGGGCAGAAGTCACAGTCTAAACCTAAAAGTTATGTTACAGCTGTTACAACTAAGACTTCTTCCTAACTCTTGAACCCAAACTTGCACCACTTTAACTAAGATGAGGTTTTGTTACATTCCGTCTTAGACTCTCTCATAATTATGTCTCTACTGCTTTTTCAGTTTTAAAACTTTTGATAGACTGCATTAGAGAGATTCTTTACAAAATCATTGAATGTTCAGACCATTTGCCTCCAACTTCTACTCCTTCATCCTATTTAATTTTCTCAATCCATGCAAACAGATCTCCATAGAAGGTCTTCTCCAACATCTCTGACTTGCTGAGAAATTTTTTTATTTAACAGCTTGCAGAAGTCATAAACACAAAAGTTTGGATGGGATTCAACTGAGCAAACACACACACACCTCTTCATCACCTCAGTGTGAGGATTATCTGAAATAATAACATACAAAGACATGGATATATGAAGATGTTGACACCTACATTGTTAACATCTGGAGGTATGTAAGTCCTGAGAGCAGTGAAAGTCACGAATCAGATAAAGTGTGTTCAAAATACTTAGGACTACATTTCTCAAAAATGTAATCGTATCATGACTCAAAAGTTCCAAAAGCAGAGCTCATTTCAGTCAGAATCAATTCCAGTAATGAGTCAGAAGCATGAATGCAAGGATCTCCCCTTTCAGACAGGCTCTTTTCCACTAACAGGTCTGTTGAATCCTAAGGCTGCAAACATCTAGAGAGACTGTGTGTGGAAGAGCTGACTTTGGGCATTCATCTAAGTCATGGGAACATGGCTGTTTTCTTACTTTCTGTGCATCTGTTCTTACAAACTTGTCTATACCTGAACTTCTCAATGTGTGTACGCTAACCTGGCTTGAGGCTAACAACAAACCCTACAGTATTCAACATTCCTTATGGAAACAGTTCTGAAGGAAACGCCCTGCGCGGGCAAGTACAGCAGTACTGAGCCTCACAGCATACAAAGGACACAGAGTCACCCGTCAGCCAGGCTAGACAAGGGGAACAAGGAGACACATGGATCAAACTATGGGGAAGAAGTCTCTTCAGATCACCAGAGCGAATGAAGACAGCTCCCTGCCAGCAAAAGGCTGGGGACCAAATGACTTAAACTCACAGCACCCAGATCCAATTCTAATGATTTCAGCATTATTTATTTATTTATACTATTTACCTTCTGACAATGAGGAGGCTGAATAGTATCCAATTAATGGGTGACAGGGTCATTGCCATCATCATCATCATCATCATTATATTGTATCAGGAAAGAGAGACACCATACTGATTGGTGGCTGGGTGCACAGTGAAATTAATGTGATAGTAGATAAAGCAATGAACGTGTGACTTAGCCAAGCAACACAGTCTAGTTGAAAAGTGCAGACATTACAGCCAAACCAGAGTATCCATGAAAAAACACTCTGCCCTGAGGAAAACAGCTGTGTCAAAACAGTTTCAAAAATCAATTTTTTTCAAGTGAGTTAATAAACCATCTAACCAACCAAAACACCTCCAAAAATCTCAAAAATATCTAATAATAATTAAAAAAATTAACCATGTCTAAAATTAAATATCCTGGAACTTCATTTATCTTGACCTAAGTGTACCCACAATAGCATTATTATATAGAAAATACCACATATTAAGAAATGCCTTAAAAGGACTTTACTGGTTCATTAAAAAAAAAGAATAAATATTAACTATACTATAAGATTAATATATGTTTTTTTATATGAGTTTAAAATGTTTTCTAGCTAATTTGCACTACTGAAATGCCTTGACATAATGAAACAGGTTTGTTTTCTGTAACGGTTTTGGATTGACCTAGAGATTATCTAAAGTAATTGCACAGAAATCTAGCACGTTTGGAAAAATTAGCACGATTGAGTGATGCTTTTTTGAAGCTTAATTATTTCGTTCTGATGTATGGAACAGTTGTATATGTAAAACACAGGTCAAAGGCTTAAAAATATATTTCTTATTTCTTTGCTTTGAAGTAAGTTTTGATTCTAGTAACAGAGAAATTAACTCACTTTTCGTATTGTTTCTGTCTCACAATTTGAGCATTAAGATCCAAGTAACAAGCTCAGCTCAGACAGGTTCCCCCTTCCCTGTCAACTGTACCTGTGTCCAAGTTCATGAGCAATAGTGAAAGCCAAGGGAAGGCCAGAGTCCTCATTGATGTTGCAGCTCCTGTGAGGCTGACACATGCCTGACAGGTGAGACAAGCCTAAGGTTTCACAGGGACGGTTCATGCCAGCACAAATGTCCTTTCTAGAATCACAAAAGAGAGGTGCCATTTAAAGAGCTTAAAACCAACTGTGGAGTGTCACTGACACTGGGTAGCAAGCTTACACCTTATAATGTGCTAATGTGCATTTTAAGTAAATCGTAGTGGTAGGTCTTTTACAAACACATATGGAACAACAAGCACTTGTTCTACTACTGTAATTATATTGCTCTAGTTTGTAGCCAGTATTTTTGTGGCTGTAGTGCCTAGTACATACACCTTATTGTCAACTCCCTTAAGTTGAAGTTTCAGAACTCCCACGTCTGACAGCATTTTAAAGCATGGTTTACTAAAGTCACCATAGCTCAGCTTCATTCAAATGAACTGTCTAAGCACTTTATATTTGGAGAGTGAAATCTCACATCATTGTGAGACTTTATTTCACATTCTTATTTCAGGATTTTTGACTGAGACAAGGTTGAGGTCAATAGTCAAAGGGTACACTTGATGATCTGGAAGGTCTTTTCCAACCTGACGATTCTGTGACACATTTTTATTGAGCCACTTGAGGTGTGTTTTAGGTTGGGGTTTTTTGCCTGACCGACTTTAGCCGAGGACTGTTTTCTTTATACCACAGACACAATCTTTTCTGCCACCTGTGTGCAATCTAAATCCATTTTTACAGACCTGCGGAAGTCCCATTTCATGCCGTGACATAAACTCCCTGCATAACCTCAGACAACCTCACTTTCAAGTTTTCTGTTCCTCTCTTGCTCAGACATTAGAAAATATTTTGTGTCCCCTTAAATATGGAGATATTTTTAAATCATATGCTTTAAAGCTTAAAAATGAATGGCACCATGTTTGCACAATATTCTTTGTTTCTGAGCTGCACCTGCACATTTCTTCAGAAGTTGTTCATCTACATGCTACCTTTTCTGGTATATTGTCTTAAAGAACAATAGAGCAGTCACTGAGCACAAAATGAGATAACATCAAGTGGGGAAAACGACCTGAGCTGTGGAAATTGCTCACTTCTTGGGACCCACAAATCTGTTTTGTGGCTAAGATGCATCTCTAACCCCTATGAACACATAGAGTCATAAACATTTCGAGCACGTTTCTGAGCTCTGTGCAGGATGAACTAAGTGATGGCATGAGCCTATAAAGGAAACATCATCAAAGAAATGCAACTGAACAACAGTCAGTCACTGCTGTCATACCTGGTGAGAAGGACGGCCACATCGTGGTGTGTGGGGTTGACATCACTCTTGGGATTGACACTCTTCTGCCACTTGCAGAAGCTGGCTAATGTCTTATCAGCATGGTGCACTATCTTCAAGCCTTGCTAATGGGAAATGAAGGAATATATTGTTGTAAAGACTACACTGCACTGTAGTAACACTTCAGTGAAGTCAGCTGTGAAGATGGGTAATTTAAATATAATCAATTATGCTTTTGTCTAAAGTTAGAGCCATAATTAGGAGCAATGACACCTATTTATCTAACATTGAATATTAACTTAAAATGCTGACATTTCTGTAATTGGTGCAGCTAAATAAAAATTACAGAACGCAAAACTCTACATACATTTTGAAAATGAGCTTCGTAAGATCCAACACTGAACTGAAACTTTCAAACATTTTATGTTCTCTTGAAATAAAATTTTCCTCTGAAGAGAAGGTGAAAATTACTTATTGTGGGACTTCGTGATCAAATTCGTCACTCAACATTATGTGAGCACTGTCATATTCAGAGAACATGCTTCTAACAGAGTATTTATTTCACAGTATTTTTCAATTCCAAAGATAAACAATGCTGCCATAAATGTTTATTTCTCAACTTATTATTATACAGTTTACATGCTAATTGCTGAAAACCTTAAAAAAAAAAGTATGCAAATAAATTAATCCCAAATTGAATTTTCTAATTTCTGATCTTGGATACTCCCTTTATCTTGCCTCAGTTTGCTTCATTTTTTACATGCATTGAAGTATGGGATTAACTGTTACCTGACAGTAATTTCTGGGGAACTTAAAAACAAATTTTCAAAGGTATTTAACACTGTTACTTCCAACACTGCCATTCCTCAGCTGAACAGGAACCCACCTTTTTTATCCAAACAGCCACAGAAGTTTAGCAAATACAGTTAATTGCATGTCATAATGGATCTAATTGTCCTGTTTAGGTGCAAGCTCAAGTTTTTGTCCCACTTACACTTACTCTGAGAGCTATAAGGACAGACTATCCCAGTAAATATTTCTGAAGACACAGACTTGAGGTTTGGTTTACTGCCTTCACACCACTGGGACCATCTGCCTGGTGTTATGAATTTTAAGCCACTGAGAAAATCCCTTTAAGGTGTTCCTCTGGTCAGAACTATACCACAGCTATAGCTATATCATACACAGCATTAAAACAAAACAAAACAAAACCATAAAATCATGACAATCAGCATGCATTTAAGCACATAGTAACATATTTGTGAAACAAGACATTGGAAACTATCAATATACAGCTCGTTACAGAAATTAACATCCACTTTGTCCTCATTTTTCCTTGCATCAAAACAGATTTAAAAAGAAAAATACGTGTTTGAACTGCACATTAAGAGATGTACCTCTTCAGAGACCTGAAAATAGCATAGCACTACAGTTCATAATACATTTCAGGCAATGCTAGGTAATTAGATCCTGAATGTTCATGTGTAGTTTCTGTTTCTCATCTAGTCCTCTTTGGCATCCCATGCTCTTCTGACACTGGGGAGATTCCATTTCCCCATTCTCAATCTGTCTGTTTTAATTACATTTTCTTATGCAATTTCATGCAGAAATACCTGAAGTCATCAGCTAAAATACTTTGCTATCCCGGGCAGAATTTATTCTCAAACCAGACATGTTGAAGGTTAATAACAGAGTCAATTTAAAACATTATTTTAAGCAAATATGATTACAGCCCAATGCATTGAACCCAGAAGTTTTGTAAATAATATTTTGAGGTAAATAAAAACCTTACCTCCACCTCCTCAAAGAGGATGAGCCGGACCAGCACAATGTGAATTGCGTTGCCAATGCTTGGATCATGGAACAACCCTGTGACCTGTGCCAGAGCCAGGAGATATGTGATTAACTGATTCCTCTATAGCAGAACTAAATTTCAAAGAAAAAATACATTTACTTCTAGCATAATGTTAATCTGGGGATTGTTTTTCTTTTTAAATTCTCAAATCACTGAAAGTTTACTGAAATGCCATAAATATTACAACTACTGCAAAGGCTAACTCTCCCAAATGAATGATGGTACAGCATTTGGCAAAAGTTACTAAGCTATGGAGCAAAAGCCCAAACAAGATTATATTATGTCCATTTCCCTTTCAAAAATTTCTGAATTCATAAAAAACACTAGCAGAAAGGAACACAACATCTACAGTCATACAGGTCCACTCAGGGTGTAAATAAACCAGCATATCAAATCGACCTGTTTTAAATGAACAGGATTCCGTCACAAAAAAGCAAAATTTAGTCAGTACTAGGCAAAGAGAAATTAGTTGAATGATGGCTACTCTTGTGTTTTCAGACTACAGGAGAGCATGGTAAGAACAAAAGCCAAGATAATGACTCCATTCAAAAAGGACTCCAAGTAAAAAAGAACAAGAACTGAACTTCGCAAAAACGTAACCCAATTATTATAAACACCATCACAATTGAGTTAGGCAGGAGGAAAAGGAATCAGAGCAGAAGATAATCACAACCTACCTATACATATCTATATATGCGACCTATGCCATCTATCACAGGAAATACGAATGAACAAAATTGACTGCCTTCAGGTCAAAACTGTTATGGAGAGGACCATTAAAGGAGAAAATACCAAAATGAAGCAGAAATTGTGTTTACAGAGGTCTGATTTGGGTATGGATCTTTTTCAAGGTACTCCACTGAAAATTGAAACATTTTAAGTAACCCTAATATCTAAGGTCAGACTGCAGAGAAAATACTGAGTTTTGTTTGTTCCTGAGCCTGAGAATGGAAGCATTTTTCCCTGTGTGGACAAAACCTCACGTGCTCGAACAACCTTTGTATCTGTTTACTCAGGTTCATTGCCTCAGCACAAGTCAAACTGTTTGGGGCACAGCTGGGAACATACTGTATAAACTCACAGGACAGATCAGGCACCATGTCTAGAATATATTGCACATTTCCATGATAACCACACAGAACACATCCTCAATATACTCTCAAGCTCATTATCTACCATGATACACATAATATTGATAAAAGGTATTAATAACAGAAGATATATCTATGGGCAGATGCTATGACTTTTCCCTGAACAACTTATATTTTGAAATTTGCCACACAGGAAAGCATTTGAAGTTCAACTTTTCTTTATTCCAATGTGAACTTTGTACTCCAAAAAGGATACTTATCTGGAAAAACGGTTGTATTGGATTCAACTGGGACAGTTAATTTGCTTTATAATAACTCATATATTACTGTTTGGATTTGTGACCAAAAGAGTAACAAGCTGGTATTTTAGCTTTTGCAAAGTTACTTTCATTTCCAGCAGGCCCCTATGTGCCCTTCTCATCCACAAATATGTGAAAGAATTCTTATGCTTAAAACCCGCAGAATTTCTTTCTGCCATAGCCAAAAATCTGAAATCACCAGTGAGCAACAAGTTCCAAGGGAGACAGAGAATTTCAGTGGAAAGGAAACTGGTGCTAGCATTTATGAGACTTCTCTTGCATAAATCCAGAGAAAAATTGTGTCTATACAAAATACAAAGTAAAAAATACTTTAAAAGGCAAAGTTTCAATTAATATATATTAATGATACTACGTTTTTCTCCATGAGCAATGCTGCAGACCTATTAAAAGATCAGCAGCATAATCAAATTCAGATTTGCTTCATTTGTCTATCTAAAAACTCCAAAATATTGTACATACCATGTTCATTATAGTGAGGATATACGATTCCACATGGTCACTGCCATGATATTCAACCATTTTACTGTCGGCAACCACAAGTGTCTCCACCCACCGCTCCTTGCTGACAGAGCGCCGAGAAACCCTTCTGACAGCTGCACGATTTTGTTCCCATCTCTCTCTCCGATGCTCTTGCTGTTTGAAAAAGCTGTGGGTATCTGGAAGAATAAAAAGCAATGCTGCCTTGAACATATTTTCAAGCTTGAATTGTATGGCTGTAACACTTACAGGATGGAAGTGACTCCTCCAGCTGCCACCCACCTGACTCACTGCGGGGGCAACTCCAAAGTGACACCAGACTACTAAGGGCCCTGTCCAGCTAAGTTCTGAATTTTCTGAATGTGTTAAACATGCACCAAAAAGTCACCCCACTTAAACAAAAGGAATTACACTGTGAGACAGAGACAAGCTTTAAAAAAGTGAATTGGGGATGCCCTTTTCAAGGAGTTTATCTCCTGAGGTTTGGCTATAACTTCTCTAATAATACTAGCTGATAGTTTCAGATAAGGGATATGCTTTCTTCACAGCCAGCTCATTTTCTCCTCAGGATGGCACATTAAGTCCAGCCCTCTGGCACATCCAAGAATGCCTTGTTCTGTGCATTGGAGAATATCATTGACAAGTGGGGACACTTGACCAGCAGGTGTCATCTAAATACCAGCAGGGCAGCCACGGGATCCTCGCCTGCTGCCATCCTACCTGGTGACAGGAAAGACATTTACTGCTTCCACTGTAATTTTGGGATCTGTGCATCTAATGCTTTTCAGGAAGAAGTCTTTGCTCTGTAAGGTTGCTAGCAACCTTGCACTGTGTTCAGTGGGGCTAATGCCTCTCCACTCACTCTAGCTTTGAATGCCAGCTGTCCGTGTTACCAGGGGAATACCAGTGACTTAAATAACGCCAGGCCTGAAAAGCAAATGAGATGCCAGTTTGACAGCAACTGCTGGCATTTTTCCAACCCATAACCCTGAGAAGTGCTTCTACAGTGGTGGGATTTCCCGAGCCCTTCAAAGGATCAGGAGCACTTGTTTCTGTTTCATGTATTGCAGTAGTCCCTTGCCACCTCACTCATGAAAGAGGATGCCCTAATTCCAGATGGGGCACATCCACAGGCCAGAAAGACAGTTCCAAGTGCTCACAGTCTTTCCAGCACCACCTCCATGACTGTGTGGCACGGGACAGTTATCCAGCATCACCTCCATGTCTAGCAGTATCTAGCACTGAGGAGCAGACACTGTGCCCTTGAAGAATGGAGACGTGGCAGCTGGATCCCTTCAAACCAGTCACGAACGAGCTGTTTGCCCTTTAGACCCAAGCTCAGACAGAATAATCACAGTGTCTTGTGTACCTAACAAAATGTGGCACCACCGGATGTGCATATCTCGTGGTGTAAAAGATAGTAAGTATCTTGGTTTGTATATTCGTGTTTTCAGAAAAGTGTTCTCTGAGGTCAGCCTGAAAGACGCCTCGATCCTGATAACATATAATGTGTACAATTGAAATATGCCACATTAATAAGCAAAACAACACTGGCCACATTTAGAACTGAGCCACTGTGCACAAGTGTGCTGTACACAGCAGCAATGAGCTATCACTGCTATAACCTGCACCCTAACCCCACTAACCCACACTGCAGCACCACTCCAGCTGTCTCCCTCAATTTTTGTTCAGTTACAGCAATCGTCTCCTCAATGAGGGGCTATTTATGACCTGGTATTCATTAACCTCCCTTGTACATTTGAACAGTTTTCAGCATTCTTATTTCTATGAAGCACAGTTCTCATTACCTACATTTTTAAGGGTTTTGTGCTGAGAAAAACCTTTCCCACAGCTATCTGAACAAAAAAAATCCATTCAGACTGCTGGTTAAGTGCTTTGTTTATGGCCAAATAAAACCTCAGGCCAGCTGTCAGGTTTTCTGTTTACAGCTAGCAAAAAGTATTGCTAATTGTCTGGGCAGCTGATAGCACTGGAGGTAAAAATGTTTAAAGTCATAGAGACTGCAGGGGTGAACAACCCTCAGGGAAAAGTTTGGAGTCCTGGTTAAGCATGAAGCTCTGTAACGTATGAAAATCTGAGACGAGGTGAAAATGAATGCCAGATAGCCAGAGGATTCTACAGAAAAACTGTCCTCAGTGGTGGAAAACCTCCTGTGCAGGGTACATCACCTGGACAGGTGACATCTGACTGGAAACCCCACTGTGTCAAGTCTCCTGGCAGCTTTTTTAGTCAGACAAAGCAGAGAGCGATAACCTCTTGAAGCTACACTAAAATACAG